ATCAGCAACCAAGGTAACCCCCCCCCCCCCCTTATCACCTGAATCTCCTCCTAGAGCACCATTGAGTTCTTTGTAACCAAATCTCTCTCAGAGGGGCGTGGGGAGGGGCTCCTTATTTTCATCTGAAGTAACAGACAGAGAATCAGCACTTTGGAAACAGGGCTGAAACAGAGGGGATTATGGGTAATGCTGCAATGATCTGTTTGGTGTTTCAGCCAATCAGAGACAGGTTTGGATATATCTGAGACCTGTGATACATTGATGAAAAACAGTATAAAACAGTACAAACCTTCTTAATATTCCCCCCCAGCGGCAGTCCCCTGGAGGAGGAGAGTGAGTCGGGGGGGCGTCGGGACACGGTGGCGTCTCTGGACTCCAGTGAGAGTCTGTCCCCCCTCGAGCCGCCCTCCCCCCTCTTCCCCCCCGACGGGAACGGGGGAGAGGGGAGTCTCTCCAGCGAGGTGTTCCTCAACGTGCTGAAGCTGAACCAGAACAGGAAGCGACAGGAACCCAGATACGGTACGCAGGGGGGGCGTTATCAGTGATATCAGGGTTTTGTGTCCCTTCAATTTGACTTTTTTAGGCAAAGCATTAAAGTGCATTGACCGGGAAAGTTCATAAATGCAACACAATCTAACAACGTCAACACAAACGGCCTGGAGAAGTGAGTTTAATGCTAATGAAATGAGGTTTTCCTCAATGTGCTCAAACTGAACCGGAATCAGGGAGGAAGTAATCAATTATACAAATGTGTTTATTTAGACTGGGCCATCCAATTTGACTCTTTTCAGGCAAAGAATAAAGTGTATTAATTAGCAAAGTTATACATCTAACAATGTCAACACAAATACTGATAAGAAGTTCATATTAGTGCCGATTTATATGGAAAATTGAGCAAGACTTTGAGACTCATTGTGGTTTTAAGTTAAAACACATTTTTCTACTATGTGCTTGTTAACTTAAGGTTTATTTACGAGTAAATCTCCCAAAACGCTTCAGTTAAAAAAGAATTGTGCATCCATCATTTCTAACATTCAAGGAAACAGATCATGTCATTTAAGGTCCTTATTGTTTACTGTAGACGTCACTCCAGGTCAGTGATGTACAGTTTTACCCGAGTACATTAAAGTATCTTTGAAATGAAATGAGTCTTAGTGCTGAATGAAAGTCTGAACATCTCTCGGCCAGCCCACCAAACATTTGGCTGAGAGTATTCGACCACACGGATGATAAATGTGGCAACAGCACCGCCTAGAGGAAACAGATAGAGCATTTTGTCATAACGTAAAGTAATAAACATTTACTAAAATGGCAACTCACCATAAACAGGAGGAGGAATACTAAATAAATATTAAATACTGAATGGTTGTCTTTAGTAAAATGTGTCATATTTTGGTTGTTTCAAATTTTATTTTATAGTTTTTTTAGGAAGGTATTTGTGGAACGTTTAATCCTGAAAGAACAATTTAAAACAAGCTAGACAGTCGTCCATTTTGTGTCCACTGTCTTGAACTGTTTTGCATTTATTTCTTCCTCTTATCATTTGAACAAAAAGGACAACAAGTAGAACATTATATATTGCGCTAGGAGGACACTTATAAACGTGAGACCTGGAGAGGCCAGTCTGTTGCCATCAGGGCGTGGATATGCTCGACTTGCTCTTAAGACAAATCGCTTTCAAAATCATCCATCCCCTCTGCACTCAAACTTTTAAATTCTTAATTTATTTACTCGTTTATTGTGATGCTATGAACTATTTATCGTGTAAATTGGAATGATCCACATCCAGGGTGTATCTGTCTGCTTTCTTCCTGAAAGAACTATTTAAAAAAACGTTTTCTCAAAGGCTAGACAGTCATCCATTTTGTGCCCACTGTCTTGAAGTGTTTTGCATTTATTTTTCCATTTAAACCAGGGGTGTCAAACTCATTTTCATCTCGGGCCACATCAGCATTATGACTGCACTCAAAGGGCCGGTTGTAACTTTAAGACTATATAAAAATACATATATAAATGTTTAAATAATGTATTATATTACATTATTGCCTCTGCATTGGATTATTATGGGATAGGGTAATATCTTCATAATTAACTACGTCTGAAAGCAGAAGTCTCTTCTGTGAGAATGTCACAAAATGATTTAAAAAGAAAAGCCAGATTCTGGAAAAATAAAGAAAAAAAAGTGAAAAAAGTAACATTTTAAAAAGAAAAAATCTAATTCTGAGAAAAAAAGCATATTTTAAAGAAAAAAAAGTCAAATTCTGAGAAAAAAGTCAAATTTGAAATGCATTGTGGGACATGTAGTTTATGGGCAATGTGGTTCTGTAAAGTAGGCGAGCATGTAACCGTCTAATAAACATATTATATTCTTTGCAAGCTCTTGTGGGGCCTCAGAAAATGAAGTCGCGGGCCGGATTTGGCCCCCGGGCCTTGAGTTTGACACCCCTGATTTAAATCCTTTGAACAAAAAGGACAAAAAGAAGAATACAGTATGATTAAGCAATAAAGTGCACATTTGAACCTTTTCCCATTGCCGTCCTCCAGGTGAAGCTCCGTCTCTTAAATCCATCTGCCACATGCGTCAGTTCCACTCCCGCCACAACCAAAATGTGTCATATTTTGGTTGTTTTAAAGCTTTATTTTATAGTTTTTTTAGGAAGGTAAAGGGATTTGTGTAAGAAACATTTAAAAAAGCTTTTCTCAAAGGCTAGAAGTCATCCATTTTGTGTCCACTATTTCTTCCTTTTATCCTTTGAACCAAAAGGACACAAAGTAGAACAGTATGATATATTTCCTCCAGGTCACGCAATAAAGTGCATATGTTAACCTTTCCCCGTTCCTTCCTCCAGGTGAAGCTCCGTCTCATAAATCCATCTGCCACATGCGTCAGTTCCACTCCCACCACAACCTGCTCAGCCTGGCCCAGTCCTCGCTCTCCACCACCTCCTCCCCCCAGGACCTGGACCCCCTGCTGGACTCGGCTCTGAGCTTCAGCTGCTCCAGCCTCAGTGGATCCTCAGAGAGCAGCATCTGGGTGAGACAGACCCCCCAGGAAGACGAGGGGAAACCGTCTCCAGCGTCCAACTTCTGGGACTTTTTCACCGGGAAAGGGTCCGGCTCAGAGACCATGGTGTGATGATGAGGAAGGAAGAAGAGGAATGTTTCTGATGGTGTCCAAACTGTTTCAAATCAAACACGTACTGACTGGATTTTAATTTAATCATCTCGTCTGTTTTTTGTGTTTCTTTGAGAGTTTGATGTTTCAACAAGGCAGGATTTTAAATGTTCTGCATATATATATATATATATAAATAGCCTACTTTTTTTAAATGTTTTCGACATACTATACTATTTTTAATTTTTCAGCATACTTTACTGTCATTTTGAAGAAAAAAAGTCACACCTTCTCATTCGGTTTGTATTTATTTGATACGTTGTAGATGAATACTGAACACGTCAAAACTAAAAAAGAACACATGGAATTATCTAGTAAACAAAAAAGTGTTAAAAAAATCCAGAATATGATTTTTATTTTAGATTCTTCAAATTGAAATAAACAAAGACCGTTGAATGAGAAGGAGTGTCCAAAGTTTTGACGTCATAGTATGTTGAAAATATTAAAACGTCATAGTATAGTACACAGTGGCGGACTGGTCATCGGGACGTTCGGGACGAAGCCCGATGCTGTAGTGGGCCGGTCGGATAAGTCACTAGCACCCCCTTGTTGAAACATCAAACACTTCTAGAATCACAACAAAACAGACGAGATGAATCTCTTAAAATCCAGTACGTGTTTAATTTGAAACACTTTGGACACCAGCAAATGAAGGAAGAGAAAGAGTGTGTGTGTTTTTGTATTCTTCTAGAGATCAGACAATGTGGGAAATGTACTGTTACGTTAAAACGACACACTACTATTGTTAAAAACACAAGTTAGGTGTATTTCTCGGATTAAAAACATGGTAAAATGTACATTATGTGGGATATTGGGCTATATCAATTGATTCATTGATTGATTTCTAAGTGTAAATACATGTTAAAATGAACACTGCCAGCATACATCTTGAATCCTAAATGTCCTACTTGAACATTTGACTTTTAAGGGGCATGCTGTTGAAGATATACTCATTTGAAGTTAGATGTCCCTGTTCTCTGGCATCTGGAACATCTCTGGATGCATTTATGGGAAATGTCACAAGAAATGTTGATTTGTGTCAGAAAACGATGGAAACGTTTAAGTGCAACTCTCTTAGAGGCTTGAGTACACGCAGGTAAAGAGACTATATGAAGGTGGATGCAGTTTTGCTGTGTATATAATATGTACATGATATATTCAGAATTTGACACACACACACTCCTTGTCTTTACTACGTAGAACTGCATGAATGTGAGTATCTGCATGGACTCTACTATCAACCCTTGTTTGTCTATACTCCAGACATTTATAGATTCACTGTAAATATATGTTATAACTCATATCAGCAGGAAGTCAAAACACCTGATCACATCTCAACCAGAACATTTCATAACTCATTTTGATTGAAGATATTCAACGTTTTGGTTCAATCACACACCGTGTAAAAGATCATATGTTAAGATGGAAAACTCAAGCATACTTGCCAACCCTCCCGATTTCCGCGGGAGACTGCCGATTGCATTACCCTCTCCCGGTTTCCTCCCGGGGTCACATTTCTCCCGATTTCTGACTAAATCAGATTTACTCACGACTGTTTCCACTCGGACTTTGATACAGCTACACCATTGTTTGGTTTCCATGGTAGCGCGTCGCTTTAGTAGCGCGCGCAACTCAAAATATGAGAGGGTGAGGAAGATAGTCGACAACTCGACCCTCTGCTCACTCCTTTCCTGTCGAGTACAGGTCCAGCCCACACATATGCTCCATCAAGGATGTGCTACAGGCCGCAAGGCAGTGCACTTACAACTACAATAAGCATGTTAATGTTAATCTACAGCTCCGGCGATCCACCAGCACCAGCATCCCCCCCCCAAGTATGCATCTGATCCATGTTGTTTTAAAGACAATGTATATATTTCTATGTAACGCAGAACCTCTGTGGACATTATGGCTATATTTCTTTAAAAAGAATGACGTATTTTCACCTGAATCCGACCCATTTGAGATGAATGTTGTGGCATTATTGTCTGTTTTTAATCAGGGTGTTCATACAGGAGTTTCCTTCCTTTAACCACAGGAGGGCGACCTTCACCTCTAAACCTCTTCCTGCTTTCCCGACAGAAGCATATCATGTTGGCCAAATGTATAGATATGTTTAAGGTTAGGATCGTGTACATATGTTTGTTTCCGGCCTCTTAGTAGAAACCTTGTTTGTACAGAGATGTATCTACATGGCATCGTTGTATTTCGTCACCCCAAACGTCCGCAGGTGAATGTTTTGTCTTAATTTTTTTATTACTTCTGGAGAAAACAAGATGTGTTTTGTAAATGAAAAGTGTTTTCAAAGCCTGAACCTGAAAATGTACCGACTTTCCGCAGAGAATAAATGTCAATCTGCCTCTGTGTGCGTTTTTATTTCGAGTCTGTTGGAGGAAATATGTTCTGAATGCACTGAGAACATAATCATAATGTTTCGTTGAGAGAAAAAAGACAGAGGGTGTTTCTCAATGTCGAGGACGCTTTCCTCGACATTGAGAAACACCCAGTGTTTCTGAAATGTGCAAAAAAACGACATAGTATGTGGAAAAAACGACCCACAAAAAAAACAATTCAATGCTGTTGTGTGAAAAAGCCTTTTGTTGTTTTTGGGCAAAAACGACCTGGGACCCGAGGAAAAAAAGTGTCTTCCAATTTCCTTTTTTTGTGATTTCCTACTTATTTAGGGTTAAAAAAACATCTTGCAATTTAGACTTTTTATTTTATTTTATTTTAAAATGTTACAGTATGTCCACTGTAGAGGACGTCGGGACCATTTCAGTTTGAAAAGACAGCCAAAATGAACAGACCGACTTATTATGTAACGTATGTAATGTATATGTAACGTATTATGGTTATAGAGTGATATTAATACAACAATACATTCACCTTTATTTAAAACATAAATAAGTAATTGATCTGAACATTGCTGTTTATTTTGCCACTAAAAAACTAGTTTGGTTTTTGGTGAATCTTTCCAGATCTTCAGAGACTTTGTAGTCGATGTAGTGGGAAAGTACCTCCAGTCGGCACGGGCTGTGGGTCATCTTGACTAGTTTTATGGATCTCTATTTGACCTGCTCATAGAAACAAAGCTCGCATTCCTGAGGCAACTCTCATTTGTCTTGGCTCCACTTCAAATAAAAACAACAATAAGACATACGTGCTACTCTTGGCCCACAGGGGGCCATGTCTTTCCAGCTCGTCCCTATCTGTCTCTATGTATCTATCTGTGCGCTCATGGAGCCTCCTGCATCTCCCCCCCCCCCTCTTCTATCCCAGGTGTGAAAGCCTCATCTCTCTCATCATCTGAGAGCTCAACATCTGAATCTCCCTGAACTTTCTGGTACAGAAAATGTCTGCTTCAGTTCCGTCTCCTGCAACAATATTGAGTCATAAAGTCCATGAAGACGGCCCTGACGTCCACTAGGATGGACATTTATAAAAGGGCTGTTATTTGAAAACTTGAATTATGTAATTGCTTTCAGAACTAATTATATAGTTCCTCACATGTTAATAAACAAGAATATATATGATTTTCATGGAAAAAATGACAATTATTCAACAATATTTGACTTCTGCTCCTGCTTCTATACAATTTTGTTTTTCGTATGTCAGCCATTTTGGATGAAAAGAAAGAGGAACTTCCCAGCATGCAATTTTAACCAATGACATATCACTGGAAAGACCAGGATGTCCTCTGTGCAGCACATCAGGGATTGATAGAGTATATAGCTCAAAAGAGTAAAAGGAGATGCAGTGGACATTTTCAATGGGCTGGTAGGAGGATATGTAGAAAATATGGAAAAAGCGACATAGTAGAACGTCGAAAAAACTAAAATAGCATAGTAGCCTATGTGGAAAAAAATTTGAAAAAACAACATTGTTGAACATTTGAAATCCTGCTTTGTTGAAACATCAAACTCATAGAAACACAAAAAACAGACGATATGAATCCTTCTTAAAATCCAGTACGTGTTTAATTTGAAACAGTTTGGACACCATCAGACGTCATTCCCAAACGTCACTGCATCTACATGTATTCACAAAGGACTTCAGACAGCAGGAGGCGCAGCAGCAGCAGACAAACAAACAAAAACACAAACAAAAATCATAAACAATTGTGTTTTGTCCTTAGATCTGAGTCTGAGAGTGAGGCTGCCGTCACTTTGAGTTAGTTACAGAATCTTAAGTGTTTATGTCACTTTCTGCCCGTCACTAATACATTCTTGGTGAGTCTGAAAAGTCAGAGCGATTTGGACAACCGAAGCCCAGAAGGGACATTTTTAGGAGGACAGAACAACTCAAACTGTTAAAGGGAAAATCTATTGAAATTTAATAAGATATTTTGTAGGAAATTAGTCACAAAATAAGGTGAATCTTTCCCACAATACAATATTGGTTATAAAGTCAATTTTGAATTAAAAAGGAAGTACTGAAACAAGCTTCGAGGCATGTTCATGTGTTTGAAAGTGGATTTTTCCTTTATAACGGTTTCACACAGGACAGTTTTTGGTAAGAAAAGCTTGTATTTTTCTCCAAAAAAAGTGTTTCTTATGGAAATCAGCCCGTTTTCTGTGCTATAGTTCGACCAATCAGATTACAAGCTCATTTACTTTGGGGATGTTTGGTTTTCGCTGCCTGACGGGTGGGACTTTTTAAACAACAGGCGAATTGATTTGTTACCAGAATCAAAGTCTTTCGAGACATGACATCCACTCTCGATCTCAGTCCGCTGATTATTTCAAGCAAGCAATTATCTATATTCCAATAATAACATCTGTATTTATGTACACATCAACATCTCGCGTCAAAAACTAAAATAATCTTCAAACATCCAGAGCGGCCTACGCAAAAATGGTAGTACAATTAGTGGAATATATCAAAAACAAAGTGAAACATCTAATGTAACAGAAGATAACATTCATAATTATAATATTTATAGTATTTAAATTAAAAAAAGAGCCTTCTTTAAACATAAGAATCCAACGCTTTGTCGAGCCAAATATTTAAAATGGCATTTTTAAAGTTTTGGAGGAACTGCATTTAATTCAAAATACAGAATGTAAGCAGCTTCAACTGAATCTGTGGACTTTTAACACCAAATAATGCATGTTTGTGCTTGTTTATGTTAATTTATACAATTACTAAATGGTAGTCTTCATTAAAAACCGTAAAATATGAACACATTATTTGGTATTTGTGAAATCAACCCCCATAGGAGTCCACCGTTTCTCTTGGGGTGCGTTTCACTTCGGTTACATGGATTCCTTGCGTCCCTCACTTGCGTCGTTTCCCTGCGACTAGTCCCTCCCACCAAGGAAGCATGGAGAGACGCGAGGAAACCACGAGAAGCAGGGAAATGAGTTTTAAGAGCAATGGGACGTCGTTTCCTCCGGAGCATCACGTGAAGCGACGTCCGTTTGTGATGACGCCGCACAGCTGATCGTCTCACAGCAGCCAGATCAGTGCATGCGCTGCATCGTCCAATCAGTGAGCGATACACAGTAAGGGGGCGGGGCGAGTGTCTGAGGATTTCACCGGAGGATGGTCTGGTGGTTCCTCGATTATCGCTCCTGCGTTATCGCTCCTCCGGCACAAATAAGACCACTGGGACGCTACTCAAAATGGCGCAGACTAATCAACTTCCGGTGATACCGAGCCCGAGGAAATGAAAAATAACCGAAGTGAAACGCACCCTTGGTGTCTGGATCTAAACCTGTAAATTAACATTGTAAAACTGATGGAAACAAAGTGGATCGACCCCAAAAACAGACTCAAAACCACTCGGAAAAAATCTTCCTTCCATGTTGAGTTTAAGAGCAGCACCGATGGGAAATTAAACAAGTGTTTATGATGCGTCTCCTTAAGTTGTTTCCTTTCCATTTGAATTAAGGAAAAAAATATCACTAATGAGTTGAAAATGAACTGAATCAAAGCTACATTTCACCCTGACCTTCCTAACTTTGAATCATCAACATAAAAGACTAATATATTGTATTTGTATCCCAAATTTAAGCTGTTAAAAGTCCTTCTCCAGGAAAAAGAACAACTTCAGTTTCGAGACGAGGTGTTTTACAGGCGACGCGGCGGCACTGTTTTTATTTGACTGTACATTTAAACATTCAGATAATACTTGACGCACTGCCCGGTTTCCATTCATCTGCTCGACAGAGAGGGTGCGCTTGCTTGTTAATCCGGGGCAGCCCAGACGGGTGGAGCCTAACGAGATTAAAACATCATTTGACTAAATAGAAAAACCTATATTTGGTTTGTTTGTGCGTTCAAAGAGAAACAAAGGAGGGTGATGACTATCAGACGGCTCGATTTATGGAGTAAACATTTCAATTAAAGCACAATTAAAAACCGATTTGAATAATTAAATTGCACTCTTTTACCTCATCTGAACAATTAGATGATTAATAGATTAGTCAATCATCAGAACAATTGATTTTGAAGAGGAGATAATCCAGAAAATAGCAACAATTTACTGAATGTAGCTTTTAATATAATAGCTTTCTTGCTAATATTCTGATTTCAGTCTTTGAACATTTCATATTTTCTTGTTTGTTGGAAAAAACCACTTTGAGAAGGGAATGTTTGCTTATTTTTGGGCTATTTTTCTGACATTTGTCCTTTTTATTCTAGTTTTAACAAGCCAATAAAGTATATTTATAATATAGCCGCTGGGGATTCATAATGTAACTAATCGTTGTTGATTAATTGATGAATTGTTCCCTTAAAATGTTCCAGAAAAAGGCCAAAATTCGAAGTGTAAAGATGTAAAATAAGGAAAAATTGCAATTGTGCGTATTTTCATTCCTAAAAACGAACGTTACAACATCAAATTATGAGTCGTTGCCATCGTGAACTTCCTATTGTGCTAAATAAAAACTATTTTAAACTGTCTTTAACCTGCAGTGGAAGCAGTCTTCGTTAGCTGTTAGCATCACTTAGCATCACGGAGAGATTCAATAGGCGCTTTCACACCGGAGTACTTTTCCCAGTATAGTTCCGATGTAGTTCCGAAAATGTGCGTTCACACCAAATAAATCCGGAACTAGAACTTAGTTAAAAAAAACTCCCAAAAAGTTTTGTGAAGCCGCCATTTTATTTGCTTTCATTAGCATTAATAGCATTAGCATTAGCCCAGCGCACCAACGGAGAGAGACTAACTTATGGCAACACAAAAGAAAACATGGGAGCGGTGGAGATGAGGAGGTGTCGGCGTTCTGGCGATTTACTCGGAAGGCTAGTCCCCAACTCCGGGGACTTCCGGCCGGGGACTTCGGGTGGCAGTATACGCCGTGAAGTGGTTTGCGGCCTGCCAGTAAACCCAAAGCAGAAGAAGAAGAAGTGACGTCAGCGGCTTCATTTGCTTAATCCTCCCTCAGGGAACTTATTCCGGTGTGAACGCGATCTGTACTTAGTTCATGAGAACTAAAGAGTTCTCATGAACTAAGTTCTCATGAACTAAGTACGGCAAAGTACTTGGTGTGAAAGCGCCATTAGCTTTCTAGAGTGAAAAACACGTTATGTAAAGTTCTGACTTCCTTCCAGCGCTGCAGAGAAACACTTCAGCTGGAGTTTGAATTAGTGTCATGAGGTTAACTGAACCAGCTGAGTTTGTGGAGGTGTCCAGAAATAAAGCTTTAACAATGAGGAACAGAAAGGACATTAAAAGCATTCAGCCTGAACGTAGTGTGGTAGCTCGGATGTCAGAACAGACTCACAGGAAATTTAAAAAGTGTCTCTGAGTGTGTTGTGTGTAAAAACTGTAGAAATGTGCATTTTCTGGCGTTTAAAAAAGTCAAAAATGGTAAAACTAATCAAATGAAACTGATAAAACAGACTGTTGTTGCTAAAGCCAGCTTGTAGTTTAACGTTGAAACACCTCTTTGTGTAATGTCTTTTTCGCTATGGCACCAAACATGATAACGTAATGGCACGACACGCCTTAGTTAATAACCTTAAATTGAAACCAGACTCTTTCACTCATTACTTTGCCAGATAGCCTTTAAAAATGTCGACATGGTTGTTTATGTTCATCAATATCTGCGAAGATATGGAACGAATCGGACGTTTTCTCTGCGAAAGGTCCTTTTTTGGATATACGTAATAAAACAGTGCATGCTTCAACTGTACCTTTAGGATAATCTGATTCAAACTACATTTTTGATATAATTTTTAGTTAAAAAACTAAAATAAGGAGCCCCTCGTTAAGATTCCTCACCATCTTTCTGGTGGTAAGGTCTCCCTTCCCCCCGCTTTTAACACTTTATGTTATTAACACCACTTCCTGTTATAAACACTGCAAACTAGCATCTTCAAGCTAAAGGTAGTTTTGTTATGACGTCAGATTTATCGGATGTTTTGGGTTTGAACGCATGGTACCTGCGCGTTAGCATGAAGCTACTTTAGCACAGTATGTTATAAACACATTAAAGAAGACTGTGATGACATGTATGATCCTGCGTCTCGTCAGGAACGGTTAATTGGTTTCTCTGCGTCGTCTCCACAGCCCAAAAAACGGTATCCATGGCAGCCTCTTGGACCCACCCCCCTTCCCCCCCGATGCAAAAGCGAGTGTTTTTAGATTATTTTAAGGTGCTTTTTGCATTGTGGGCGCAGAGGATTTGAACGCTTGTGATCCAGGAGGCTGGCATGCTCCCTGCAGACGTCTCACAGCTCCAGTGAAAAGCTCTCCGGATACTTATGTGGGCGGAGCCTGTGGCGGCCAAAAGCCCCTCCCCTTTCTGCTGAGTGACAGTCCGTTTAGGGGGTTCACCGCCCGCTTGTTCAGTCTCTGGATTGGTAGAACAGGATGTATCCGGACTCTGAGTTCTTGGAGATGTCCGACGTCAGACCGTAGAACTCCTCGATCGCCTGCGCGTCGATTTTCTACGAGAAAAGAGGAAATAAATAATAATATAGCACCTTTCATGCACAAAGCAGCCCAAGTCCTTACCTTAGGGTTAGCTCCTGTGTGAGAGTGTGTTTTAAACTGAATATTTAAATATTGAATACAAATATGACATTTTAAGAATTTAAACCACGTCTCCCGCCCCTCGGTACCTGCTGTTGATAAACCTGTAAAACATGTTCATATTTCCTTGAGTGAAATTCCCGATGTGGCGTTTTCCGGCTTTTTGATCAAAGTGACTTTAAAATATATATATTTATCTATCTGTGCTTCGGCGGCCGCTGTTCCAACCCTAAACCAAACCCTAACACTATTCAGATTTGTATTTTAAGGGACTAGTTTAAGAGCATGTGCGTACAAAACCTAGCTGTCATTTCTATGAAAAGATGATTGAATTTCGGTAACGATGCATAGATTTAATCACAGATAGTCTACAAGAAAAGAGGAAATCAATTGATGACATTTTAGACATTTAGAGGTGATTTCAGTTGCCACGTCGACATCCTTACCTCAAGTGAGTAGTTTAAGAGCATTCATGCCAAAACCATTAGTCTTATTTCTATGATAAAGATTATCGTATTTGGTAGTAATGCATAGTGACAGATATTCTTCCGTTAGTTGAACCTACTAGAAAAGCAAGATGTTTTCAAATCCCACAACTTCAAATCTGTTTTCCTCTCACAACCTTTCTATAAAAGGCTTTTGAAGAGGTCTTTGTCAGCACAATATGAAATCCTTCCCTTCAGCTCACAGGTGTTGTGTTTCAGATCCTTCTGTTATCATTCTCTACCAGATCTCCATTTCAAATCAAGTATGTCTGTTGGGGAATCATTTTCCCTGCATGTCCTCTGACGCAGCTGACCAGCATGCTATCCCCCTTAAGGAGGGGCTGCCCTAGCATTATGTTGTTGTTACCAGTTTGTGACCGGGCAGCTCTCGGTCAGAGATAGTTATTGCTGTGGGACACCTGGAGCATCCTTCTCGGGGTGTAGATGACCCCGAGCCATAAGCGACAACAACTGTGATTCAGTGTCCTCAGCTGTTTAGTCTAACTATTGAACAATGTTGATTATTCCACTCTGAACTAAACTGGAGCTACAGGAGGGGTCTTCAGGATTGATCTCAACCGTGTGGTCAACTCGTGAGCCGTGACATGTCTTGTGAATTCTCCGGCCGAAGCTCCAAATAAACCGTCAGTGTTTGCCATCAAAGCTCCAGCTCTCCTCGTGTCTCTCTGAGTCCTGACTCCAATTGCTTCAGAAGTTTCCGCCACAATGTCGACAGTTTAATATCTTGATTCGCCCCGACAACTGTTTCTGATTTGGTGTGGCAGCTTTGTCCAAAGAGAAAGCAAATACTATAAATACATATATATACTTTTGGGCTGGTGATGAAAGACAAGAGGCTTCAGCTTCAGGAGAGTCTGCAGATTCACTTCCAGGTGCGGAAAGGCACAGATAGAACTTGTATAAAAGTAGAAGACAGATTTAATAAAGACGGAAAGCTAGAATACAGCCAGACAGATGGAGTTAATCTCCAAACGCCATAAAGAAAATGATCCGGTTGTGTTCAGAAATCGGTCAGTTTCTGGACCAGGTGTTCCGATGGGCCTCCTTCCCATCATAGTGGAAAAGTACAGAGGTGACGACGGTCAGATTTAGAGTTTTAAAGGAGCTATTTCAATTGGGGAAAAGCGCATTTCATCTTAATTAATGTACAGATAAGAATAAAACAAAGACGGAGAGTTTAAATGAAGCGTTCTTTCCACGAAATCCCTTATTATCGTGTAATCAGACCCACATTAGGTTCTCCTTACTAGGAGGAAAAAAGCCAGAAATCAAGACCCATTAAACAAAAAGCGATCCACAGTATCTGATAAAGATAATAACTCATGTGTTTGGAGGATTTTCTATAACTTCTTTTGACTTTTATGTGTCCGGGGTTTTTGCACAGCACTGCAGCGTTTATATAACTCTGAAATCCTGCCTCTCTTAAATTCAAATGATACTCCACAAAACCCCTGGAATGTTTCAGCACCAGGACGGCACGCTCCGATAGCTCAGCTGTGTGGCGTACTGCTGTCTTTAGCGAAAGAAAAATAACAAAAAAAAAGGATTCTTGGCTGCAGCTGAGGCTTTGACTGAAGAGCGGAAAAAAAGCCAACGCTACATACCAGTCGAACTCCACGTCTGAATTCCTACACTTTTTATGTGAGTCAGGGTTTGAAATGAAATGCTGGAAAAGTTCCCTACTTGCACGGAGGCATCCTCACATGTCAGACTGTTGTTTCTACACCATGTTTCTCCTGTCATCTTGTCAGAGGGTTTATAGCAGGAGTCTCAGCAGAGCCTGACAACTTTAGTGAATGAAAGACTAAATATCTGCTATTTATAAAGTACTTATGTTTTTAGAAGAAAGGCCACCTAATCCTGACGTCTGTAGTCAACCAGAGTATAAAAGACTACAATTCCCACAATTATCTCGATCCGCCGATTGAAGGAAATCCAGACGTATTTTCGGGCAGAGAGTTTTTAAGGCTTCAAACTCAATGTAAAGTTATACCGATGCTTATTTTTAAACACATGCGGTTGTGGAGAGGAAAGAAGGAGTGTTTCTCTCACCTCTACGATGTCGTCGTCGAACAGCAGCCAGAAGCCGTGGCTCTTCACGATCGTGATGTAGTGTCCGCGGTTTGGACCGCTGCGGAGAGGAGAGAGGAACATCGTGAGAATAAAGTCTGAAATACAGCTCTGTCACTTTGTTTGAGAAGTATGAATAAACTATTGTTTCTTGGAGTCTAGAGGACTTCGTTTTTTAAATAAATGAATGAGTTACAGCAACTATGTTTTCTTGCATTTTAGCAAAACGGAAAAAATAAATAAAAATATCAATGTTATAAGTGTAAAGCTGGATTAATGTACTTTTAGAAAAGTCAGACATCAAGTCACCGTGTGACTGAAATAATTAACACATTCAATTATAAGAAGGCAATCTGACATGTAACTATTTTTATAGAAACTACTGAAATGGCTTTAAGGGACGTGATCTTTGTTCAAATTCCCCCAAGCGAATTTATTTAATAAAATGTTAATATATCCTTGTTTTTAGGGATGCTCCGATCGCCGGAATCAGTATCGGCCGATCGAGTGGGCGGTGTAGAGGAAACTTCTGTGTAGCTATGCACTGGGAGTCACCGACTCAGGAAGGAGACACGGGAAGAGCAGTAGCTTTGATGTCAAACACATGATGGTTTATTTGGAGTTAACGGCCGGAGGATTCACATCACAAGTCCAAGAGTCAGAGGTTCTGACTTCACGGTAGAGTTGCCAACGTCAATTCTGAAGAACTCTACCCCAGACCCTGTATTTAGCTAGTTCAGAGAGCATCATCAACATGCTGCATACAAGATAGAATGATAACAACCTCTATCAGCTGACGCCAACAGGCAGGAACAGGGAGACAAAACACTGAGAGCACAGCAGCCAAGGTTACGAGGTGCGTGTGCTCAGTCAGGACAGTTTGAACTGATACACTGGGTCAAAGTTATGGGCCTTGGAAAATATTCCACAACAGGCGGGGCCTATGGGGATCTTCCATTTAAAGTCTCCGAAATAAGTTCCGAAATTAGGATCAATAAAGTCTCTAGAGAGGGAGAGAGAGAGAGAGAGAGAGGAGAGAGAGAGGAGAGAAGAGAGAGAGCAGAGAGAGCAGAGAGAGAAGAGAGAGAGAGAGAGAGAGAGAGAAGAGAGAGAGAAGAGAGAGAAGAGAGAGAGAGAGAGAGCAGAGAGAGCAGAGAGAGAGTAGAGAGAGGAGAGAGAGCAGAGAGAGAGAGAGGAGAGAGAGAGAGGAGGAGATATCTCAAGATCGATCTCTCTCGAGTGTAGACATAGCTAGGTACTCGAGATAGAGCGAGATCTCTCGATCTCTCCTCTCTCTCTCTCTCTCTCTCTCTCTCTCTCTCTCTCTCTCTCTCTCTCTCTCTCTCTCTCTCTATCACATGGCAATACTTATGTTGATGTACAATGTACAATCATTTGTATATACAGTAAAACATGGACAATGATACTAGTGAGAATTGAAAGTCATATTAAAAGATAGGTATATAATTTGCTTTTAAACATTTTCAAGGCATTTCTTGTGATTTGGGGCTATAATGCATTTTGATTTGATAAATAAAGTTAAAAAGAAGACCCCCATTACCTGCCGCAGTGCACCACGACGGCCACCAGGTCGTACATGCGGTCGGGGTTGGTGGCGTCCCCCGAGGTGTTGAAGAGGCGGAGCTCCAGAGGGAAGACGACCCGATAGGACAGCTTGGTGTAGCGGTGCAGCTGGTCCATGTACTTGAAGCGCTTCAGGTGGAGGGCGAGGATCATCGGGAGCTTCTTCACCCTCATCCTGACGAAGAGGCGGAGAAAAGGAGAGACCATTAATGTCAAACACACTCACAAGAAGTTTGACGGAACATTTAAGTCAGTAGAAATGAACAGGAGGGTTTCACACAAAGGTTATTTGATCCTAAGATAACTCAAAGGGATAAAAGCTTTCCATTTTGACACCATTACTGTTCAAGCTTTAACTGCGTTTGTCCGCTAAAATGAAAGAGTGTGGTGCTAAGCGCTGTGTGACTGAGGATAAACACACTATGTAGCGACAGCGTGCTAATTGAGTTGAAAGCTCCTCATATCAAAGAGAAGATATTTGAAATCGGTGCAAAATCTGTTAACACTTGTTTAAGCAAGAACAACCCAGTCAAAAAGTTGGTGTGTGCTCCCCCCTTTTGATCAGCGTCGCAAACCAAACGCCCACAAAACAAAAAGACATGATTGCATTTCTAAAAGGACAGAACTACATTAATAATACTGCAATTACTGTATTAGTTGATAATGAAAAGTTAACATTATTTAATCAAACAAATGAGTAGATTAAGGTTGCTTTTTTTTAAAAAAAATTTTAATTTTTTTTAAATACGATGTTTTTTGCTATTTTATTACATGGCTTAGTTGAATACTCGATTCTGATTGGTCAATTCAGAACACTTAACACGTTGTTAATCCAGAACAGACAGACCGCTGTCAAGGACTTATTGACCGTTGTTAAGGACGCTCACATCTGCAAAAAGAAGTCCGTTTGATTTAACTGTATATAAACTAGGACAAGAAAACAGCGGAGAAGTAACGGGGCAGAAACCCTCCTTTTTACGCAGCGGTCCAGACATAGACATCAAACGGCGACACATATTCAGTTGCCAGTTTCTTTGGCATCAGGGCAGGGATATCTAGATACTTTCCAAGGTCTGACATAATGAATTGTGCTACTTTTAAAGCAAGCAACGATGTTTTCAAATCTGTAATCAAAACGCTATCGAAGCACTTCCTGCCGCTGCTACGTTAGTTCAAACGGTAACAACGGACTATTTCTCTTAGCGGATGCATGTCAATTTAAATAAATAATAGCCTACTATTTTTAAATCAATAAAAACATTTTCTAAATCTATAAAAGCATTTCAATTAATATTGGGAGTCATATTGTGACTTTGTTGAGAATGTGGCTTCGCGTCGGGATCGGCCTGTCGGTGTTCTTTTACCCATAATGACCGCCTCGCTGCACATTATCCCTTACTTAGTAGACTCCCTGATCAATTTGAGCAACTTGAGCCAACTATGAATTTAGACGGGACATTTTTACAGTAAATCAATATAAAAACGTTGTAATAATAAAGAAACCCACCTCTTCTGGGCTTCCTGTTTGCTGCGACACTGCTCACAGTAGTATTTGTATTCACTGCATAACGTCTCTGTGTTGCTGAAGCCTCTGTGAGGAAAACAAAAAACACACATTTACCACCAGGGTGTAAAAAGTCAAAGTTAGTATACTTTCCATATCAGGTGAGGATAATAATAAAGGGTTAACAGGAGCAGTGTGTACCTGAGACAGTGTGTGATGGAGGTGTTCTGCTCCACGTCTACAGACAGATCCAGGAAGTCCTCGTCTTTACTGCTCACCTGAAGCGTGGAAAGATACCCAATTTAAAATGGTTTCTCGTATTCAGAATAGGGCTGAACGATTAATCGATTTTAAATCGAAATCGCGATTTTAAATGATGCGATTATCAAATCGCAAAGCCTGCGATTTTTTATTGTGTGTCAGTCATCCACACCAATCAGAAGTGCTGTGCTCCACATGTACCAGCCATTGTTAACCAATCAGAAGTAGCCCATGATAGAAGGTCATAGATTGATCCAATCACCTGCCAAGTGCTTTTGAAAGTGCCTGCCCTTTCCAAATGGCTTCCAATGGAGCTTTCCTAGATGGTTTCTGAGTCAGGTTAGTGACGCTCCATCACGTGTTTCTATTACAGGGTGAATCTGAAACTGAAGCTTGACTTTAAAGCAACGGAAGTTTCATGTAAGTTGAGTTTTTTCACTCGTAGCTCGGGCTGCGGGGGTGCTAGAGACGGGAGCACGTTGATACGACCTTCCTAGCCGGAGATATGGCCGCATTTTACAATAAACTTCCGTTGGGTCGCTTAAAAACAAATATCGCAATTCGAATCGCAATATCTGTCAGAAAAATCGCAATTAGATTTTTCCCCCAAATCGTGCAGCCCTAATTCAGAAGCACAAAAAGAACGTTTTGCAAAGCAGCAGCTCCGGCCAGGTAAACATGTAATCTTGAGGTCTTACGAAAGTGTTCCCCATCTTTGTTTTAATGTCATAATGTCAGTATATCTTGAGTCTGGGTTCAGAAGTGAGTTAATGATACCATGCGTCACCTGAAGCGTGGGAAGACACACAATTATTTCTCGTAATCAAAAGCACAAAAAGACAGTTTGTGCAAAGCAGCAGCTCCGGCCAGGTAAACATGTAAAATAAGTATTCTTAAAGTCTTAAAAAAGTGTTTCCGGTCTTTGCTATAATGTCAAAATGTCAGTAAATCTTGAGTCTGGGTGAAGCTGACGATTAATGAAACCATGTGTAGTTATTAAATATGGACAATTAGAACTACATTGAAGACGTTTTAAACTCTTTTAATACCACTTTTAGCCGAGTTTAAAACCATCCTGCTCTTGTTTTTGTGCACTAGTCGATCCTTAAATTAAATCCAGAGTTAATACCGGGTCTAACGCCCGTTAAAAAGTATTGATTATATCATCTTCAGCCATTGTTATGTCATGTAAAATGTCTGTTTTCTTGTTTCTTTTCTTAAATATCAGTGTTTTTTTTAAGTTGCTGCAAGAAAAAAGTCAGATTTGATCCGACAGAATCAAATAACAAATAAATGTGCACTAAAATCACTTTTTAGGTCTTATAGGGTGTGTTCCTCATAGTCGCTTAGAATTGAAAACCTCAAGGTAACATTATTATCATTATTTAAACCTCAAATAGTTTGAAAATCACAAATGTTTTCCAGCGTGTCACTCACAGCTTCACAGTTGAGGCAGCGCGTCTCATTGGTCAGCGTTCCCTGGAAGATCTCGTGAACCCAGGTCTGTTGTGTTTCCTTGACTCCTTCCCCCTCTCCTCCTCCTCCCTCACTTCCTCCTCCTCCTCCATTCTGCACCAGTTTTCCGTTCTGCTGCCTCTCCTGGCTCTTCTCCTCCTGCAGCAGGTCGGCGATGGTGTTGAGGAGGTAGTTGAGGAACTCGTGGGCGTCCTGCTGCATGTAGTTATCAAACAGCTCTGAGGGGGAAGAGATACAGACAAGAGGTAAGAGAAATAAAGATTGTCAATTTATTGAACATGTCAGAAACAAAACATAGATGAGAGTAACGCCTACGTCACTTCCGGGCGACAATGACGGCTTCGCCCATTTTTGGGGGAAAACAACGCTCTCATTTGAATGGCGGTCAATACAAATAATAATGCCAATCCGATCAGACATTTTTGAAAACCGTGGATTTTTGGATCTTCAAAAAGCCAGATTGTGACGACCAGACAGGCAAACAATTCATTCAATCGAAAAAAAAATTATTTGAAATCGACGATCGGCTCGATATATGGTTAAATACAATTCAGTAGGCGAGGCTGTAATTTTCGCCGGCTGTTACTCTCATGAGCGAGGCGGAAAATAATTGCTGTATCATGCCAACAAGCTGCTGTGTCGTTTATAGCTCCTCAAACATTAAAACAAATCCAGAGTTACGTGTTTCTGGACTTCCTCTAAGAAGAGAGGACAGTAACAGAAGAGCTCTATGGCTTCAGGCTTGATCGGCGTTCAAATGACAGCGTTGGTTTCCCCCAAAAGTGGGCACGGCCGTAAAGTGACGTAGATACTCTCATCTATGGACATCGATCGCCTACTGGTATATTTAGCCATATATCGAGCCCGATCGTCGATTTCCAATGATTTAATGTAATTGTTTGCCTATCGTAATCGGGCTTTTTGAAGATCCAAAAATCCACCGGTTTTCTGCAATTTCTGATCGGATTGGCAAAAACTTCAGAATTTGTATTGACCGCCGTTCAAATGACAGCTTTGTTTTCCCCCAAAAGTGGGTGGAGCCATCGTTTTTGCCCGGAAGTGACGCATGTGTTACTCTCATGTATATAGAGTGGCGAAGTCCCGCTCATCTACTTCCGACCCATGGGACCTTATTTCGGAAAAATAATGTATTGAAGTCAATGGAGAGAAAACTTATCTCTGGATCCCGTTTGAATAGTGCCATGAATTCCACATATGATGTTTGTCAATCGTAAAAAATAATTTCCATGTCAAAAAAGTCACAGTTTGTCGTAAAACTGTTGAAATATAAGACGCTGAAAAATACGCAACTAGAAAGACTACAAATCCCAGAATCCCGGTCCCGCATGCTGGCTCTCACGGAACCGACTAACTCCCCTTGTGTGTATGCACAGCTCTCAACGCGCCCAGACTTGGAGTGATTTTCACCTCGTTTAATACTTTCCGCCTCATTCTGAAAGAAAGAAGTGGAATGTTCCAACGTGACGGCCGTCTTGGTGTGTGGTGCGAGACGGGAGATGTAGTTCATTGAGCGGTTTCACACAAACAAAGTGTTACTTCACAGTTTTACGACACTTTCATATTTTTTTGACTTGCAAAATTATCTTTTAAATTGACAAACATCATATGTGTAATTCGTGGCACAATTCAAACGGGATCGAAATACATACTTTTTCCGAAATAAGGTCCCATGGAGGTCCCCGGAACAAGACTCACGCCCCTTGTTTTTTCTTAGGTTTAAAAAGTTGTTATCTATGTTTTTATTTATTTAACAGAGACAAAGATGCAGTATTCAGACACATTTAAATACAATGTGACATTATGTACAATCCGGATATGCTGGACAGTTATAAATTAAGCAGATTTAGGTTTGTGTGGCTTTATTTGGTCCAAACGCTTACGTGAGAGCCCTTGTTTTGGTTTTTTTCAGAATCGGTTTTATTATCAAGTAGGTTAAAACATACGAGGAATTTGCTTTGGTATAAATGGTGCATACAAAGACACAGAATGAATAAGTACTATTCATACACATTTCAAAACAGACTTTGCATAATTTCTTTAAAATTGATACATATTGAATGTGAGTGTATCAGCAGCACTTCCTTTCCCGTAAGAATGGACCTGAGGAGTAAACTAAAGTGGGCGGAGCCGTAATTCTTGCCCGGAAGTGACGCATGTGTTACTCTCATGCATACAACAATAATTAGGGCTGCCCCCGAATAGTCGATTAATCACTAGTCGACTAATTAAGTCTTAAATCGAGCAATTTTGTATTAGTCGATTAGTTGAATAAAAACATTATATAAAATTACATTCAATATTTCAAAGGTTCATTATTACAGTTGTATTTTATATTTTATGTGAATTACGTACCATGCTGTTATAATAACGCTCTTTATCAGCCTTTGAAACTCAAAGCATTTTGGGAGAAAAAAGAAAATATATATTTATAATCATAATGTATCATAAATGTGCGACGATTAATCGACTAATCGCCGACTATTCGTGGACTAGAAACATCTTTAGTCGAGGGCAGCCCTAACAATAATATATATATTTTTTTATAATAATAACGATAATTATATCAAACAGAAGCAAAAAAATTAAAATTCAAGGTACAAAAAAACGTTGAAGGTGCAAAAAAAAGTCTGGGTGTTTCTCAATGTCGAGGACGCTTCCTTGGTAGGACATGTCTTCCGAGTCAGGTCCTTCAGTAGCGAGGCAAGAATCCTTCCTAGCCTCGGAAAACGAAGAATGGTGGAACAGGCTAACAGCTGTGCGTCATATGAGAGGCCCCGCCTTAAATGGAGCGCGATTTTCACCAAAGATTTTGGAAATTGGTCCGTGCGCAAAGCATTGTGGGGATTTTAAAACCGCAAAGGATACACATGTGCAGCCTCGAAATGTCATGCAACGAAGTACGCCGGCCTCGGTAGAATTCCAAGGAGCCTGGACATTGGAACAGTCCTTCGGCGGGACTCGATGACGTAGCATCCTTGAAATAGTGGCTCTGGAGCATCCTTCCTCGACATTGAGAAACACCCTCCGTCATGTCCAACAGGGGCAAGAAGAAGCAGCTCCCCCTCTAGCGAACATTTGTCTTAAAATAAAAAGATTAGGTCATCGTCATCAGCGTCGTGTTCGTCAGGTTGTACAAAACAACCAAAAGGAAATAACTTTTACAAATAGAGAGAAATAGAGAGTGAAGAAAGTAAAGACAGAAAATAATCGGCATGTGTTGGCCGGAGATATCGCTCCAATTAAGATCTGTTTTTATCTTCCCTCCGCAGGATTTGGCGACAGCTTTAGATATGCCCTCCCTCTCTTCCTCTCTTCCTCTACTTTCCCTACGCTTTCCGGCTCATCCCTTTCTCTCTCACTCATTTCAGATTTGAGAGCCTAACCCCCGGTGGTGGATTGATGTTGAACACCCGGTGAGGAAATGGGGTTTGAGTTCCTGAAAGACGCGACAGCTGCACATCCTGGCATCGCTGTGCAGCCGAAGCCTTCCACAAATTGCTTATTATTAGTCATTTAAAAAAAGCTGGAAGATATTTTTCTACTTTACTTGCAGTGCAATATCATACTGTAAAGATATCGAGAATTAATATGGTATTAATATGAAATACGCAGGGTTATATTGTAATTTACATGTAATATATACAGCATGAGAGTTTACTTTTATACCAATGTTTTTATTTAATTAACATTTTTATTGGACCTCTTGTTTTAATAGCAATATTTTATTTTATCTAATTACTGCACATTTGTACTATTGTTTTAATAATAGTATTCTATTACTATTTTTTTGGACATTTTTATTTAACTTTGTATATTTAATTTAAATACCTATTTTATTTTAGCTTTTATTATTTATCTATTTATTGAACAATTACTTTAGTCGTATACATTTTTTTTTATTTATCCCTGATTTTATCTCATTCTTAACTCGAGCAGCTCGAATTATAATTCTGATATTTACCATTTTCTTTTCTCAGTCTGGAGATGAATTTCTTGGGAGGGATAACCCCGACTTTCTTCTTCTGCGTGGCGATGCTGTTGAAGAGGTCGGAGAGGCAGGTGAGGAGAGACTCCTTACGACGAGGCTGCACCTGGAGGAACAACAACTTTATTTACAATGCTTCCATATAAGTCCTAACGGCAGAGTACACACATCCTTTACTCAAGTAGAAGTACAGATGTTTAAAGGTACTACGGTGAAAGTAGAAGTACTGACTAAACTTCTTTACTCAAGTCAAAGTAAAGACTTTGAAATGTACTTCAGTAAAAAGTACCCATAACTAGCAGCTGCTTTAAAGAGTACCTGACCTCCCTTTATATTAATAGAACAATAATGTCATTGTTAGCTAATGAATGTTTCCATGCTGAACAACGGCAACATGACAACGTTTCCATTGGTCCCTCTTCTTTAGAGAAGACCAGGAAATGATGGATACACGGATCGTGTTCAAATCAATAGGCACGCAATGACTCTAAAGAATAATGATCACGCACCAAACACACATTCAGACTAAAGGAACCAGCTGTTTGGAAAATGAGAGAAGTAGAAAGTACAAGTATTTGAGTTCAACATGTAAGAAGTAGAAAGTACAGGTATTTGTGTTCAACATGTGAGAAGTAGAAAGTACAGGTATTTGAGTTCAACATGTGAGAAGTAGAAAGTACAGGTATTTGAGTTCAACATGTAAGAAGTAGAAAGTACAGGTATTTGAGTTCAACATGTAAGAAGTAGAAAGTACAGGTATTTGAGTTCAACATGTAAGAAGTAGAAAGTACAGGTATTTGTGTTCAACATGTAAGAAGTAGAAAGTACAGGTATTTGAGTTCAACATGTAAGAAGTAGAAAGTACAGGTATTTGAGTTCAACATGTAAGAAGTAGAAAGTACAGGTATTTGTGTTCAACATGTAAGAAGTAGAAAGTACAGGTATTTGAGTTCAACATGTAAGAAGTAGAAAGTACAGGTATTTGAGTTCAACATGTAAGAAGTAGAAAGTACAGGTATTAGTGTTCAACATGTAAGAAGTAGAAAGTACAGGTATTTGAGTTCAACATGTAAGAAGTAGAAAGTACAGGTATTTGAGTTCAACATGTAAGAAGTAGAAAGTACAGGTATTTGTGTTCAAAGTGTAAGAAGTAGAAAGTACAGGTATTTGAGTTCAACATGTAAGAAGTAGAAAGTTCAGGTATTTGGGTTCAAAGTGTAAGAAGTAGAAAGTACAGGTATTTGAGTTCAACATGTAAGAAGTAGAAAGTACAGGTATTAGTGTTCAACATGTAAGAAGTAGAAAGTACAGGTATTTGAGTTCAACATGTAAGAAGTAGAAAGTACAGGTATTTGAGTTCAACATGTAAGAAGTAGAAAGTACAAGTATTTGAGTTCAACATGTAAGAAGTAGAAAGTACAGGTATTTGAGTTCAACATGTAAGAAGTAGAAAGTACAGGTATTTGTGTTCAACATGTAAGAAGTAGAAAGTACAGGTATTTGAGTTCAACATGTAAGAAGTAGAAAGTAAAGGTATTTGAGTTCAACATGTAAGAAGTAGAAAGTACAGGTATTTGAGTTCAACATGTAAGAAGTAGAAAGTAAAGGTATTTGAGTTCAACATGTAAGAAGTAGAAAGTACAGGTATTTGAGTTCAACATGTAAGAAGTAGAAAGTACAGGTATTTGAGTTCAACATGTAAGAAGTAGAAAGTACAGGTATTTGAGTTCAACATGTAAGAAGTAGAAAGTACAGGTATTTGGGTTCAACATGTAAGAAGTAGAAAGTACAAGTATTTGTGTTCAACATGTAAGAAGTAGAAAGTACAGGTATTTGTGTTCAACATGTGAGAAGTAGAAAGTACAGGTATTTGTGTTCAACATGTGAGAAGTAGAAAGTACAGGTATTTGGGTTCAACATGTGAGAAGTAGAAAGTACAGGTATTTGAGTTCAACATGTAAGAAGTAGAAAGTACAGGTATTTGTGTTCAACATGTAAGAAGTAGAAAGTACAGGTATTTGTGTTCAACATGTAAGAAGTAGAAAGTACAGGTATTTGGGTTCAACATGTAAGAAGTAGAAAGTACAGGTATTTGTGTTCAACATGTAAGAAGTAGAAAGTACAGGTATTTGGGTTCAACATGTAAGAAGTAGAAAGTACAGGTATTTGTGTTCAACATGTAAGAAGTAGAAAGTACAGGTATTTGTGTTAGAAATGTAAGAAGTCAAAGTCGTCAGAAAAATAAGTAGAGGAGTAAAGTACTGATACCAGAAAAATGTAAGTACAGTAACGACATATTTGTACTCTACTACTTCCCACCTCTTGTCCTATATCATTGAAGAAGGATTGCATTCTTTAGGTGTGTGAACCCAGCACACCAACAACAATATGAGGAGAGAAACACTGCTAAGATAAGATAAGATGGACCTTTGTTAATCCCTGTGGGGAAATGTAGCACTTAGATAAGATTGAAAATATACATATTTGAGTAATATATATTAAGAATATCAGCAAAATATAACACTTGTTCTGGATTTTTTTAAAACTTTTTTGTTTACTAGATAATTCCATGTGTTCTTTTATAGTTTCGATGTCTTCAGTATTCATCTACAATGTAGTACACATTCAAATAAACTTCGAATGAGAAGGTGTGTCCAAACCTTTGACTGGTAGTATATATACATATTTAAATATATTTACATGTATGTGTGCCGGTAAAAAGCTAAATTGTGATACAGCTATGGTATCAGAATCAGAATAACTTTATTAGTCCCACAGAGGGGACATTTGTTACAGCAGAAAAGAGCCAAAGACAGCTTAGTGTTACCTAGGAAGCATGCATACAAAAAGATATATCTCACCTTGTACGCCAACACCTTCTCTCTGAACGGCCGACAGAAATACAGCGCCTGCAGCACTGAGTTACAGTAGCAGGTGTTTCCAAACTGAAGAAAGAAACACACAGATTCAGGATTTAAGTACATGTTCCATTAATATGTGTTTCTACTACGACATTACAGTTTACATCACGGGTGTCCCAACGTTTTTCCCGAGGGCCACATAGTACAAAATATTCGAAGGGTTGGGTCCCTCACTAAAGTCAAAGTCAGCTTTATTGTCAACATGTGTTATACATACAGACATCTTGAAAGACCGTTTCTCGCAGTCCCACAGTGTGACATATATACAATCCACAGAACATGAATTGACATTAATGCAAGTATTCTTTAGTGCAAATGAGAAGATGATGTTTAAAGTACAGTTTGAGTGCAGTAGCAGCGGAGATGGGTAGAAAAGTGACTGGTGCTGGATGAGGGAAGGGTGTGTGTAGGGCTGCTCGATTATGGCAAAAATCATAATCTCGATTATTTGGGTCAATAATTGTAATTGCGATTATTAAATGCGATTATTCATCGACTTTGAAAACATCCATTTTTGGAGAAAACTGTTTTTAATAGTATGTTTTTAACAGTTGATTACCCTGAACTTTAAGTAAAATTCAATTGAAAAACCAATAAAAAAAAAAAAATTCTAATAATAAAAAAATAATCGTTTTATTTTGATTACGTTGTTTTCGTAATCGTTGCAAGCCATAATCGTAATCACGATTAAAATACATTTAATTGAGCAGCCCTAGTTGTGTGTGTGTGGGCGGGGGGGGGGTTAAAGTCCAGGTCCATTTGGGGCAGGGGGAAAGGTGGGAGGCAGGGTGGAGAGGTCAGGGGAGAGTTGTCAGCATCGACCGCCTGGTGGAAGAAGCTGGTCTAGAGGTATGTCGCCTCATAAGTTCAGTTATAAGTTAGCAAAACCAATCAAATGTAGGTAAATGATGCTGCAGCCTACATCACAGAGGGTTTCATTTATTTTGATGGCGGCTCATTCCTTAAAATAAAAGCCTCAGTTTGAAAATAATAAGAGGAAATGTGAAGGGTCTATTTCACGGTTGTTATGTAAATAAGTCATTGGGCTTTTTTCTTATCAACTTAGAACATATTTTCAACTTGAATTGACTGACTGGCTTATGAACACATGAACACTACGGTGTAATATATCTTTACAGATGTATTTAATACAAGACAAGCTCGAGTTTCATTTTGTGGGCCGTATTCCATTTGACTTTTTGAATTAGCTGATTCAAAATGGCCGTAGTTTTGACACCCCTGGTTTACGTCATCCACGAGCCGTTGATTGACACTTACGTTGACCAATCCAAAGTAGTGTTCATTAACGGGAAACTGTTCCGGTCCGATCTCCTTTTCCAAGGCAGAGGCATTGGCGCCCTGAAAAGAAGAAGAAGATAAACTTTCATTTGCTGTGTTTTCAAAGCAAAATGACACGGAAACACTTATTTGACATAAAACGATCCATCTGAGTCGCTCCTTTGTCCCTCATTGTTTCCTGTTTTCCTGCTCCATGTTCTCGCTGCTCTGTTGAATTCAAACGTGTGTTTGTTGCAGCTGTGCTTCCTGCTTTATTTCCTCCATTTGGAGATGTACAGGCAGCTTTGTGATAAAAGCGTTAGATATTTTATCATCAAAGTTTTACCAGATTTAGTCGAGAAATCTTCAACCAAGTCTTTTTTTTGTGCAATATTCACCTCGATTAACAGTGACTCATGTTGTCTGTCTCTTTTCTCCATAAGAGATGAACAACTTTCTTTATCATTATGCAAACATAAATCACATACAATATGCCAGATATATCCCAGGACAAGTGACAGCGTTTGTTATTAAAAAGCCACTTCCTGATTTTGTTATAACACCCAACGATGCAGGGAAAAAATACCGCACAGCTCAGCTATGAAAATAAGTTTAAAAACAACCTGTAGAGGCATTGTTTGATACGAGTGCAAACACATGAATATTCCATCCCGCACATACTTATGTATATAAATACCTTGCTTTATATCTTGTTATTGTTCATTGGTAAATTCAACATGTATATTTTCTACTTTCTTGTATACTTCTAGTCTTTTTTATTTGTATTGTACTATGCCATGTCTTTTTATGCTGCTGCAACACAAACATTAGGCGCTTTCACACCAAGTACTTTGCCGTACTTAGTTCATGGGAATTATTTAGTTCTCATGAACTAAAGTACAGATCGCGTTCACACCGGAATAAGTCCCTGAGGGAGGATTAGGCAAATGAAGCCGCTGACGTCACTTCTTCTTCTTCTGCGTTGGGTTTACTGGCAGGCCGCAAACCACTTCACGGCGTATACTGCCGCCCGAAGTCCCCGGAGTTGGGGACTGGCTTCAGTAGAAGCTGCTGGGACTCCCAGCAGCTTCTACTGAAGCCTTCCGAGTAAATCGCCAGAACGCCGACACCTCCTCATCTCCACCGCTCCCATGTTTTCTTTTGTGTTGCCATAAATTAGTCTCTCTCCGTTGGTGCGCTGGGCTAATGCTAATAATGCTAATGCGAGCAAATAAAATGGCGGCTTCACAAAACCTTTTGGGAGTTTTACGGGGCGTGGTTTGCAATCCGACCAGCCAATCAAAAATGGGAACCTTTTTCTCCCTTTTCAGTCCCTGCTCTCTAGCAGGGACTGAAAAGGGGGTGGAAAGGTTCTCATGAACTAAGTTCTAGCTCCGGATTTGTTTGGTGTGAACGCACATTTTCGGAACTAAATCGGAACTATACTGGGAAAAGTCCTCCAGTGTGAATGCGCCTATTTCCTCTTGTTTTTAAGAATGTGACTCTTAGTGGCAGTTTGTGATTTTGACACTATTTAACTGAAACAATGCCGTTTTGTCAACTTAAAGGATTTTTGCTTGTTTCTTGTACACAACACTTATAAATACACTTTAATACATGAAACACTTAGAATATGAAGCACTATATAAGGAATTTGTTTTCTTTCAAGGCGGTTTGTGTTTTTAAGTCTGTTACGGGGAGACAATGCCGTTTTGAACATTTTACAGATTTGTGCTTAATTCTCTCAAAAAGTTACTGAAAGATAGACTTTTATGAATAAAAGCTTAAAACTAGAACATGTAGTATCTTATCTTATGTGTGGTACCTATATGTGTGAATAAGTATGCGTTTATAGGTCTTTTAGTCATCATAAAGCGTTGAGCTTCTGGGTGTCATTCAGTCTAAGCTTCTAGAAATCAAATCCTGTATTAAGGCAGGACTGAGAGAAGGAAGATGAAGATGATTCAGCTTTTCCTCCAGGCGTGAATGACTACACACTCAGATGTTACTCATCATCACACTGCAGTCCATGTAAAGTCAACAAGACGAGAGCAAATGAGGCTCGGCTCGGGGTTATTTCTCTAACACCACCACGTCCACTCCAAACACCACATCGTTGTAAACAAATACCAAGGCAAGCTTTCTAATGTCGGAAACAGAGAGGGAAGCAAATCATCTGTCTGGGAAAAGAGATTTGTTGAACGCTTGAAGTGATTTTTCAGGTTTGTAGTGACAGCTTTGAAAAGACTGAACTGATGGAAATGAAAGTGCCAGCTGTGCAGCTTTAGAGGACATAGACTTCAGACAGAAGGGCGACACGGCTGTATCGTTATATTAATTGATAATGACGATCCATCTAGAGCAAGTCATGATGAAAAGGACTTGATTGGTGCATCTCAACATCTTTGCTTCCAAATGACCTTTTCTTTCTGATTTGAAGAATGAACAATGTCTCCTTAAGAAAATAAGCCGTACAACAATTTGAAATCTGTATGAAATGAGAAAATTATGAATACTCAAAGCGTGCTGTGTAAACTGTTGTTTTTTATATCAATACCTTTAAGTGCTCATAACATTTTTAAATTGAAGTTTAACAATGATATGAGAACGGCGAAATTCCTTACGACTTCCTACAAATCCTTTAATACTTAATCAGACTTTTTGTAGTTTAAAATGTGGCCTCTAAACAGTAAGTTAGCTTAATTTGAACATAAAGAAAATTGGATAAATGTACTTTTCATTTGGAATATCCTGCGCACAACCACCTGACAGTTTTTGATACCCAACGCTACAAACCCATATAAGTTGATATAATAAAAGTATTCAGGATCAATACTTAATAGAAGCTCAATTAAAGTATTTGTAAATCATCATCTGTGATACTGGCTACCTTTAATACTGTGTGTGATGTAACTATAGCGGATACAAGCGGCCGAGATGGGTTTTCTCCGCAGGGTGGCTGGCGTCTCCCTTAGGGATAAGGTGAGAAGTTCAGTCATCCGGGAGGGACTCGGAGTTGAGCCGCTCCTCCTTCGTGTCGAAAGGAGCCAGTTGAGGTGGTTCGGGCACCTAGTTAGGATGCCACCTGGGCGCCTGGGAGGAGACGGAGGACCAGGTGGAGGGATTATATCTCTTCGCTGGCCTGGGAGCGCCTTGGGATCCCCCAGTCAGAGCTGGTTGATGTCGCCAGGGAAAGGAAAGTTTGGGGCTCTCTGCTGGAACTGCTACCCCCGCGACCCGACCACGGATAAGCGGGAGAAGATGGATGGATGGATGGATATAACTATAGCTTATGCTGTCTTTGATGCAGAATTGCTGTAAACTGATAAGACTACACTTTCACAAGACAGTCAAACGTGGAATAAACATTACATGTCTCTATTTTTCTTGTCCTAAAACATCAACTATATTCCCCTGAATGCTGCTACATTATCAAAGCTGTCCAGTTGTAGTTTGTGCCGCCCTAACAAGGACTTTCACAGCTTCAACAGTGGAATTGATTTTGTGAAATACTTTCCGGGCAGTATCTGGTCGACTGCCAGAACAAAGCCACCAGGCACAGCTATTATTTAGCTTGGTTACGGTTTGTCTATAGCTGCTGGCAATCTGCCACAATGATGCTGGCCCTTTGCTCTAAAGGGCCAGGTGTGTGCTCTTTAAAAACCTGCATGTAGAAACCACTAAGTCAAAGCTTTCTGTTTCCTTTCCAGCATATATATCAGTAGCAGACTGCAAATTAAACCTGAACTTTTGAAAGAACATCCATCTGTTTGCAACTCATATCAATATTCCAATGACTGTATATAGACTATTCTGCACTGTTTCTATTATATTATATTGTATTTACCTGTACTATTGCGTTGCACTGTTTGAGGAGCCTGTGACCTAAGATTTTCATTGTCATAAATAGCTATGCACACATGACAATAAAAGCCTTGAAACTTGAAACACTGCAGTAGTGTGTATACTGTGAAAGGTGCAGCGGCAGGAAACAGGATAGATTACGGTCAGAAGTTAATCTCTGGGATTTAAGCTCACCTGCCTGCGTGTGTGTGTGCGTGTGCGCGTGACTTCACTACGCTTCAAAATAAACAAACACTGAGCGGTCACATTAAGAGCTAATGAAGCCGTGTTTTGACCTGTTTCGCCTTGACCCTATATGCCGAACAGGTTGTCCTTTAAACTGGAAAATCTGTGAAGCTGAATATGTACAATCAGCTGATGGTGTTTTTGAGCAAAGCTGACCCTCACCTCCTAGTTCCAGGGATCAATACTTTTAAACATCATTGAAGCCTTTTAAAATGCCATTTAGAGGCAGAAGAGCTCCTTCTTTCAAAGCGTGTGCAGAGCTTAATACACAGGTTAACTAAAGGAACTAATATCTTAGGTTTCAATTAACCATCTTGTATTTATTGTAAGTTTATATTACACCATGTAGGCTTTTATACATTTTAAAGGGTTTGTTGTTATTAGAGAAGCAAAACTACAACAACAGCCATTATTTACAGAGGCAACATCAGGGTGTAACCCATGACAGGAAATGCTGGGTTTCTCCATCAGTTACAGATAATTGACAGATAATGTCAACTGAGGAAGTACTCAGATGTTGTACCTAAGTCAAATATCATCATCATTAACATATACGTAAAGTACCAAAAATAAAAATACTCATTATGCAGATTGTCTAATATATATGATATGTTCTTATTATAGTAATAGATGCATTAAAGTGTTATCAAAGCTGCAGCTAGTTTTAATGACTTTGTATACTGCAGGGTAGGTTGTGAATTTACACCAGAACTAAAGTCTGATTTAAGAGTTGATTATAATTCACATCATTCATCCAAATCTGGAAAGTAACTAAAGTTATTAAATACATGTAAAGGAGTAAAAAGTACACCATTTACCTCTGAATTGTAGTGGAGTAGAAGTACTGAGTAGCATAAAATGGAAATACTTTACACCTGATAATTGAACTATGCAGATGATAACCTATTAATTCCTCTTGTATGTGCAAAAGGTATATAAACGTAGCTTTTACAATAAAGGGAATACAAGTTAGGATTAGCATACAACAGTAGCAAACAACTTTGTCTTTCCAGCTAGCATGCTAAGCTAGCTAGTTTCGCCCTTCTTGCATAAACAAACTACAAGCTGGCTAATAATTAACAGTCAAACAAACTGTGTTTTTACTCTGTTTTCAAACTAAACCAGTGGAGTTAGGAGCTGGTTGTTAACAGGCTACAACTTTCTGGAAAACCCTGAATGTTATTATTATCATGTTAGCAGAGACGCTAGCTTTAGCTCAGCCATGGTTGTATAAAGAGAGAGAGGCGGATTCACCATTCATTCCTATGAGAGTTGCTCAGTGGCGGTTGAAGCCTAGAATAAAACTGTAGATTCAGAAAGTACCCGGATGTAGGCCCACAGAGCATGCGCAGTAGAGTTTTCCTTTAAGCCCCACCTTCTATCCTCCTGCTCTCGGCTCAGTCAAACGAATGGATGTAAAATGTGTACACCATTATACATTTTGTTAAACCTAAATATGTTCATACAGCCCTTTACATCAACATTATTAAATAAAAAATTACTCTGAATTCGGCTTTTTAGCACATTTTGCAACTGTTAAACCCCAATGATGCAAATGACATCTGAAAAATCTCAACAAAATAAAAATACACTGATTTACAGACGTCTCTTTCCCCGATGTAAGTCAATGGGGAAAAGTGTTTTAGGGCCAGAATGACGTCACGGGTGTGGTAGTGACACCTTTTCGCCACCACGGCCATTCATAAAAAAATCTGCTTCAACGGCCGGCCACTTCCTGGAGGTTTGGGGCTAACAGGCGAACAAACACTAACATTAAGGCCGAACATCAGCTCCTTACCATCGTACAAATCGAGGCGATCTTTCGGACTGTCATCAGTATTTCCATCCGTAAGCCGCCATGCTGGACCGAACCCCGATGTTGAAATTAAGAGAGCCGTGAAGGCTGCAGAGTTTCGCGAGAACCGTTTGCTTTCTGCCCGGTCTGTTACCATTACAGAGTAGTAACCACCACTTCCGGTTTTGGGATTTCAAAATAAGACACCAACTGGAGAAAAAAAAGAATGTGAATTTTTGTTTTGTTATTAATCTTATTCATTTATATATAAACGCTCATGTTAATTGTGTTACTGATATACTTAACAACGATAACATATGTTAAGAAGGCGTTCAATTAATAAAACTAATACAGGCAGGATGCATTTTGAATAAAACTGATGTGGGGACTGCTTCATATCTTTTTCAAATTTGGCTATTTGGGTCTATATATTTCCTACTATAATTGTAACAAAAGAAGGGTGAACAAGATCGAAGTAAGGAACAGACACAATAACAGAAAAAATAACCTAAAAAAAAGCTTACTAATGTCTGTAATAAAGTCATAATTTAATTTGAGTGTCTTATTTTGAAGGTAAACACTCAGCTTCCGGCATTTCTCCCGTCCGAGGGAGTGTCGCGGACGCACCACTCAGAAGCTCTTTGGTTCGCTCGATTATTCTCACGGGGGCTAGACTCGGGGGCGGTGCTTTGGTTAGCATTTCCCACTATTCCTTTATTAGGTTACACTTTGTGGGGTTAGGGAAAGGAGATAATTCCTCATTACTAAAGATATTTAATTACTAAAAGTGCTGTATGAAACTAAAATGGACGCTCATTGTCATCAAGTAGACAAGTCAACATCAAGTTGACCTATGGATAGATAGATAGATAGATAGATAGAGAGAGAGAGAGAGAGAGAGAGAGAGAGAGCAGAGAGAGAGAGAGAGAGAGAGAGAGAGAGAGAGAGGAGCGAGAGAGAGAGAGAGAGCGAGAGAGAGAGAGAGAGAGAGAGAGAGAGAGAGAGAGAGAGAGAGAGAGAGAGAGAGAGACTTTATTGATCCTAATTTCGGAACTTATTTCGTCACATAAGCGTTTTCAGACATTAAAATACAATACTTAAAAAAGTGGAAAAGAGAACTAACAATTACAAATAATACTTTGGCACGTACATTCTATTTTCAGCTTCATTATTTTAAAGCTTAATTTCCTTGTTTATTGGCCCTTGTGATATCTGAGGCCAGGCTGGAAAAAGGAGCCCAGTTTAGACAGGTCTCGTGGGAATATTAGGGGACGGTTCAAAGTCTCCCCCTCCCTCCCTCCCTCTCTCTCCCTGCTATCTGTCCGCAGTCAGAAGCATCTGGAATCTGTGCGAAAGGGACTACTTTTTTGTATCATATTATGTTCGCCTTTTACATTTAAAACGGTGCTTTTGACACTATTTCAGTTTTTAGATGATTTATTGCTGAAAGATCCTTGGAGGGATTAACACTTTTTTTTCTCACTGGAGAAATACTTGGAATATATTTGGGAATGTTGCACCACTAAGGAAAACCTACTTTTGCATAACGTCCAAGAATAAACAACCAGCTGTGTCCGTGGGATCATTATGGGAATATTGGAGTGATTTTCCTCGGTGTGGAGGGGGGGTTGTTGCAGGACTGTTATTCCCCCCACATAGAGCAGATCTGATCCGGGGTGCAGAGGGGGTTTCAATGCGGCTGATTGGAGACCCTGCACCGGGAAACATGAACAGCAGCGGCGGGTCTGGAAACTTTCTGCTGGTTCCCATCCCGGAGTATCCCCTGCTGGACTGCGTGCCTAACAGGACCGCAAAGATCGTGGTGCTGGGGGCCAGCAACGTCGGGAAAACCGGTATGCATGTGTGTATGGAAGAACTGGGGAAAGAAAAAAGCAACATTTAAGTGAATTAGGAGTTTTTCCAAGCATTTAATGCAACTGTAATTCATCTGTTTCCTTGTAGGGATTACTACATGCATGGGTTTCATGTAGCTTAATCATAACACATGATAATAACCAGAAGTTTAACCTCTTAGCATGCAGCGTGTTATTGTCAGGAATGTCTCTGTGATATAGTTGTCTAAAAGAGGAGGACTATAACAGGAAAAATCGATATTTTTAAATAAATACCAACCCTGAGCGACAGGGGGCGACATGTTGCATTCTGTGTAGACTTTTAGGGTTTTCAAATATACTTTAATTTGTGTGGTGAAAGAAAGTATTCAATAACAATATAAAAAGACCCACAACTAAAAGCCCTGCATGCATACTGGTACTGTAATTAAATAACAAGAGCTGTACTTAAATGATCATGTGTTTGCAGAATGAGATCTTTTAGAGTGGATAGTGTGGATTATTACTATCATTGATGTGTCAGCTGTATTTAAGTCACGTTGTGGAGTGAGCTTGAGCAATGTTACACCTTTAAGACATTATACTTTAAAAGGTGATCATATGTCTGGGATGTTCACTGAAATACAAGTTGTGAAGTACAAATATACCTCGAACAATTTACCTTAAACACGATAAAAGTACAACAGAAGTAATTGTAGTTGCACCAAAGTTTTACGGTCAGTATTTTGTTTGTTATAGTTTGAGAAACCTACCCTACTTATGTCATAATGATGTCATTAGGGTTAAGTCGGCTCAGAGAGTAAACATTTTATAGCAGAAAGTCTGCATTTCAATCTGGAGGTGGAGAGTTATTAAGAGTTAGCAGGCAGAGAAGGGTTGACTAAAAGAGAGTACCACGTTGCATCATGGGAAATGTAGGATTCAGGGTTTTTTCAAAGGTCTTGACTCTTGACCCATATGGATTAAAAAGGTAAACATATCTCGGCCACTGTCTCATGTGATTCCCACTATTGTATGAAAATGGGAATCTTTACTCTGTAACATGCACTGATGGGAATCAAAACCTTCTTCTAAAATGAAACCGGCCTCTCAAAGGAGTCAGAAAACATCGTCCAAAATCCCCAAAAAACAAGAGATGCATGAGACAATCATTTACCAGGACAAAGATGACGCATGAGGGGTTACAACATCACATTCAGAGTATTGGTGAATGAGTTTCTTGCTTCAGACTTTGGGCTTTCTGTTTGTTTAAATCATCTCTCTGCTACAAAAGTCCATCAAATATGTGTCACAGAAAAGGGAAATTCCTACAAAGCCTGCCAACGTTTAAAAGGCCCATGTCATGCTTTTCTGGTTATTCCCCTTGTGTGTAGCTTTGCATGTGAACGGTCTGCAGAGTCACAAACCCTCAAAGTACACCCTGTAGCGAGTAAAACTCTAACACAGAGAAGACCTGTCTGTGCTGCCCCAGAACGCCTCGTTGGACATTTCTCTTTTGCCATTGTTTACTTCTTGGGTATAGTGACGTATTTCGGGTATAGTGACGTAACGTAACGGCTCCGCAGGTTGGTCCAAATCAAATGGACCTATCCGCGGAGCCGTTACGTTACGTCCTTGGAGCCGTTACGTCCGTGGAGCCGTTACGTCCGTGGAGCCGTTACGTTTGGACCAATCCGCGGACTTCCTCACACACACGCTCTGCGGGACGTTGCGAGGCTCGCTGCTGCGAGGAGCGGGACACTGTGAGCTGGCTCACTGGTGTGGGGTCGGCGAGACAGCGGAACTCAGCCTGGGCACACACACAAACTCCCAGCCAGGCTGCGGGTGTGTGTGTGTTCAGGCTGGGTTTCACTGTGTCTCGCAGATGGCCACTGGGCTCACATGGAGGGGGGGGGGCAGGAGCTCCAACAAGCCGTTTAGGACAGAGAGTGAATACACATGCTATACAGAGATGCTGTATGAGAAACCAATGTGAGTTTGGAACATTGCACAATATACATTTATTCTAGTAGACCTCAACAATGGAATTATGATCAGTAGAAATGGCCATGACATGGGACCTTTAAGTGTTATAAAGGTCAGCAGGTTGTCGTAGGGTCGTGCATTTTCCATATCTGTCTTTTTATTCCATGTACATGACGTTTGGATGGCACATTTCAGAAAATCTCCTTACGTTTTCTTGTTTCTTTCCAGCTCTTATTGTCAGGTTTCTCACCAAGAGGTTCATCGGGGATTATGAAGCAAACACTGGTAAGTTTCCACACATCTGTCTGCAATAAAACGAGCATCATTTGTCACAATAAGCGGCAGAAACTAATCCTCCTGCTCTCTGGAAAAACCCCACCTATTGATCCTTTCATTCATCCGTCTCTTTTGCTCTCTGCAGGAGCGCTTTACTCCAGAAAGGTCACCCTGGATGGAGAGGAAGTGTCGCTTCAGATCCAGGACACTCCCTGTGTGGCGCTGCAGGTCACACACTCATTCAAATATATATATATATATATATATATATATATATATATATATGATACAGCGTTTGCATCAAAACAAATACATGTTTATGAAGATTTGATGGCTTTTTTAGTGATGGAAACACATTTGTCACAACAAACGGTCACTAAACGTATCACCTGTTTCCGGGATATACCTACCTACCTTATGAAAGTAATATTTCCCCGAAGAGTAGTTTTCCCCTCATAGAAGATGTTCATACCGGCCTTAGCTTCCTACACTGTGATGGAAAACGTATTTAGATTTAAGTAAAAGTACAATCGCCACAGTCTAAACTTACTCCTTTACAAACAAGTCCTGAGTTCAACAGAAGTATAATGAGCTAAGTGTACTCAAGTATCAAAAGTAAAAGTACTCATTGTGCAGAAAGGCTGTCCTAAAAGTGTTATCTTATTATTTGATAGTATATGTTGTTATCATTAGAAAAGACATATAAGAGTTTTAATGTTGTAATTTGTCCGTGTTTGGCAGGTTTTTGATAGTACTGAATACATGTGTGGTACATATTGATAGTATATCAGATAAACACAACATTTTATGTTCGTAAAAGTAACTACCAGTGTAAAATATAGGAAGTGGAATAGAAGTACATGGTAGCAGAAGATGTAAATACTCAAGTGAAGTACAAGTACCTGAAAATCATACTTAATCACTTGAGTAAATGTACTTAGTTACAGTCCACCACTGCACTGTTGGCGTCCAATATGAATCGGAAAAGCTCAAAATAAACCAGGTGGTATTTGCTGAAGTAAGCTTTTCTGTCAAACTATTATTGAGAGTTAAAATTAATGGCATTCTTCGTTTGTTTTATAGCAAAAAAAAATGTATTGCACCATCTACGGTTGATTCATCCACATCCAACATCTGCCACAACAGCTGTCTGTGCTAACACTCCTGAGTCACTTGTTGATGGCAATGAGACACAAACATTCCCCCAAATTCCCACATTTCATGTAAAATATTTTAGTTTTGAGTTATTGGTTGACTCTACAATATAAATTAAGCTTAAGTTTCTGTTTACAATGAAATATATATGTCTAAATATGCTTGAATTGAGTTGAGTTAAAAGGTTCAAAAAGTCGAGGTCTTTCTTCGATGCCATTGCCTGAAGATTAACTCATCAAAAGATGTTAGGAGAACTCTTCATTTGATCATAAAAGCCATTTGAGGAATGCATTTGAAGCAATAGGAAGTGGAGGATAATTGGTGCAACGTGCCACACCGGCTGTCTGTTTACAAAACCTCAGAGCCGCTCATTTCCTCCCTCCATTTGGGGAGATAAGGGAGGATGAGGAAGTATCTCCACTTCCAGAGATTAGACAGGAATAATTGGTGTGGAGGCAAAGAGGTGGAGAAGTCACGGAGGATCTGGAAGGTTGTTGAGGATTTTTTAAATAGAGAAGAGTGTTGTATCAATAAAGTACGGTTAATCCAGCCCTAAGGGGGCACGTTATCCAACGGACTTATCTTCACCTCAGGATGACAGAAAATGTTTTTCTCGGTAATAATGAGTGAAAGGAACGGCCCATCCTGAGCTGAGGACTGGGTGGTCTGGAGGGTCTGGAGTCAAAATGTCAAACCAGCTGCTGTGTGTCCATAAACACACATTTGCCAGTAAAGTCTGAAAACCACCTGTTAAGTCACTTTAAAGGGAACTCTGGAATGTTCCACCTGGACACTTTTCCCCCTATCTTTGTGCTTTCAAGAGATTTATGGTACATTTTTGACTTTTGGTCTAGCGTCCATCCAGCTAAATATAAACATAATTAGACAAAACTGGCGCTTTCCACCAAGAATTCAGAGCATATTTTTCCCCTTCAAACAAGACTTGTGTTCAGATCAAGCTAAAGGGTACAGAATAGGGCCGGGACTCGATTAAAAAAATTAATCTAATTAATTAGAGGCTTTGTAATTAATTAATCGAAATTAATCGCATTTTTAATCGCATATAAATATTTGACCTGAGAACAGTGAAAAGCAATTTTTTTCACATGGATTTTAGTATACCATTAGGCGCATTCACACCGCAGTACTTTTCCCACAAAGGTTCATGAGAACTTAGTTCATGAGAACAAATGAAGCCGCTGACGTCACTTCTTCTTCTTCTGCTTTGGGTTTACTGGCAGGCCGCAAACCACTAAACGGCGTATACTGCCGCCCAAAGTCCCCGGCCGGAAGTCCCCGGAGTTGGGGACTGGCTTCAGTAGAAGCTGCTGGGAGTCCCAGCAGCCTTCCGAGTAAATCGCCAGAACGCCGACACCTCCTCATCTCCACCGCTCCCATGTTTTATTTTGTGTTGCCATAAGTTAGTCTCTCTGCGTTTCTGCGCTGGGCTAATGCTAATGCTAATAATGCTAATGCGAGGATAATAAAATGGCGGCTTCACCAAACTTTTTGGGAGTTTTACGGGGCGTGGTTTGCAATCCGCCCAGCCAATCAGAAATATAGCTCTTTTCTCACAAGAGAGCCGTACGAAAGTCCCTGCTCTCTAGCAGCTCTCTGCTCTCTAGCAGGGACTTTCGTGGGGGTAAAAAGGTTCTCATTAACTAATTTTAGTACCGGCTCTTTTTGGTGTGAACCATAGACTGTATGGTGTGAACGCGATAAAAGAGGCTAACGTCCACGCTAGCTTCCACGCTAGCTGCTATATGTTTTTGCATTGAGGTGATACTTGAGGCTTGATGTGCTGCGGTGATATGCGAATTCCTTTTTGCATAATTTGCACACAACCGTGCTCTTATCAACGCTTCCATCCGTCCGTTTTTTAAAACAACATTTCCCACTGTTGTTCACTGTGGTTTGTTGTTGTCTGAAGTCATGAACGTTAGTTGTGTGCTCCAGTATAATCGGTACGCCTGAAACTCATCCAGTGAGAAACGTTCCGCGGTGCAAAAATAAGTGCGATTAAAATGCGTTAATTTTTTTAACGCGTTAATTTTTGTGTAATTAATTAATCTTAATTAACGCGTTAAAGTCCCGGCCCTAGTACAGAAAACTAAATATATTTTCTCTGTAAGGTCCTTTCCATACCTTTTTCACACACTCTAAATAACAATTTCAACCGCTAAATAGCAAAAACCAGCAGCTTTTAATGAGACTTTTCCCCCTATCTTTGTGTTTTTAAGAGATTAATGGTGACATACATTTTGAGCTAAATATAAACATAATTAGACAAAACCGGCGCTTTCCACCAAAAATTCAGAATACATTTTTCCCCTTCAAACAAGACTTGTGTTCAGATCATGCTAAAGGGTACAGAAAATTGTACTTTTCTATCCTTTTTCCAACCCGGTATCACGGCAAAACGTGAACATGTGGCGATTTACCATGCTGGGAGACGTGAAGATGTCACGATTTCATCCCTTCAAACGTGACAGTTACACGGTATTGTTAACCCATGTTAACCAGTGGAGAAATACCCGGAAATGCCAAGCAAATGCTCCCCCGACGTAATGATTTATTTTTTAATAATCACACTCGATTACAGCGATTTTCTTGTTGCCCCAGCTGATCGACACCTCTTTTAGCAGAAACAAAGGCTACATTAATGTATTAAATCGATGTTAATCCGTGTGTGTGGATGTGGAATTAACAGACGTGACGATGTGCGATTGCGTTGCCAGGCAACAGCTTCGGTTCATGTTAATTTACAAACTCTTCAACTACAACCGTAGTTATATTTAAAAACATGTTAGAAGGCCTCACGAAATACTTTAATGCAAATTAAATGTGAAGGAATGTGTGTATAACAAAATACATCCGTCATAAACAAAACCGGAAACAGACGTAGGCAAGATCCTCAGCTCGATGATTGGATGGTTTAGCCGCAATGCATGCTGGGATTTGGTGTTTATGTGATGTGAAATCCACGTCACGTTTTCAGTTTTGGCAGCAGTTGTTCCTGTTTGTCTAGAAGTCTTCTCATCAAGGCTCTATAAATAGAGAACTACGGCAGATATGTAATATTTAATGTAGCCGAACCGTGTATTACAATGCCGTTATGTGATGACTTTCAAAGAGAAAAGCAAGCACACTCGGAATAAAGTATTATTTTATTTTTAAAAAACATTTTCAGATTTCACATCACATAAACACCAAATCCCAGCATGCATTACGGCTAAAACATCCAATCATCGAGCTGAGGATCTTGCCTACGTCTGTTTCCGGTTTCGTTTATCACCGATGTATTTTGTTATACACACATTCCTTCACATTTACATTTTAATTTGCATTAAAGTATTTCGTGAGGCCTTCTAACATGTTTTTAAATATAACTACAGTTGTAGTTGTAGTTGTGGTTTGTAAATTAACATGAACCGGAGCTGTTGCCTGGCAACGCAATCGCACAACGTCACGTCCGTTGCTTCCACATCTACACGCATGGATTAACATCGATGTAATACATTAATGTAGCCTTTGTTTCTGCTCAAAGAGGTGTCGACCAGCTGGGCAACAAGAACATCGGTGAAATCGAGTGTGACTATTACAAAATAAATCATTATTATATTAATATTGACAATAACAACCAACCGTCGGGGGAGCATTTGCTTGGCATTTACAGTTATTTATCCACTGGTTAACATGGGTTAACAATACCGTGTAACTGTCACGTTTGAAGGGACGAAATCGTGACATCTTCACGTCTCCCAGCATGGTAAATCGCCACATGTTCACGTCTTGCTGTGATATCGGGTTGCCTTTTTCACACACTTAAAATAACAATTTGAACCGCTAAATGGCAAAAACCAGCAGCTTTTAATGAGGACATACACTGACGGTGCAGAATTAGTATTAAAATGCAGAAATGTGTGCGACTGCTGGAACCAATTTCAAGAATTGTTGTCCCCTTTTGTCACTTAGTCCCTTAACATGGGGATGAAAAGGGTCTACGTTGGATAATATGGACGTTCAAGCTGCTTGGGTTGATGCATTTGGATGAATTTGGATAGTTGTGCAGTCTTTTTTAAATACAGGCCACTACAAAAGTAGTTGTTTGAGGTTGGGAAAAGATCGTTTAGTGGTGTAATGTCTGGAGGAGACACTGACTATGCCAGACTATGCTTTAGCTCAGAGGAATGAGGAAGTGTTTAAAAACAGTCAGTGTCCATTCCCAAGAGTTTTAAATCTGTGTGTCTTTTTCATTTCTGCAGGATGATGCTGAAGGCCTGTACTGTCAGGAGCAGATCAACAGGTACGATTCATTACTATAAACATTCAATAAAAATGAAGATACTTCTGTGATACATTGACAACATCTGAACTTTTTAAAGAACATCCATAAAGATTCATCTGTACATTTACTTGTATATTGACTCTTCTTGCACTATTGCTATTTTATTTGTATTTACTTGCACGTCTCAAAACATTCTCGTTTTATTTGTTCTATGTCCTATATAACTTAACACAAAAAGTAAAGCAATTTGAGTTTATGATTTCTATATTGAAACAATGCTTCTTGGCAATAAATCTTATACCGTAGGAAAGCCTGTTTTCCTACCTTTCCAATGGTACCACATGTGTGAAGAACAAGCATTCGATGGATGAGCAGCAGAGCTGAGTATGTGGGGTGCGCCCATGAAAAATGTGAATCAAATCTCCTCTGCCAATGCCAAACAGCTTTCTTTGCTGCTGACTCTAGTGTGGTGTTCTTTGGTGGATTGGATGATTGAAGTCTGATAAATGAAGACACATTGGCAACATTTTGAAAGATAAGAAAACAGGCTTTCCAACCGTATAAGATTTATTGCCAAAAAGCATTGTTACAACATAGAAATCCTAAACACAAATTGCCTTACTTTTTGTGTTAAATTGATATTCATGTTACGTGTTAGAGGAGCCTGTGACTTCATTGCCATATCTACACTGTAATGTGCTAATGACAATAAAGCCTTGCATTGAAATTCCAGATCTATTTACTGGGCGGATGGATACGTGCTTGTGTTCTCCATCACGGATCACAACAGCTACCGCACCATCCAGCCGCTTTACCAACACGTCAGACGCATACACCCCTCTGGAAATATACCCGTTATACTGGTCAGTGCACCTGCCAAAAAGTAAAACAATGCAAAATATATTTAAAACGTTGGTGAACTTGTACAGGAAGTCTGTTTATTGTTGCTGTTTGGATTTACTGCTGGTAGACAGTTGCTTTACTCTTAAACTGATAATAAGTGTTACCTCCTGACCCTAATCCCCTCTAATCTGCTCTGTCCTGTAATCTGTAATCAGGTTGGAAACAAGAGCGATCTACTCAGAGCCAGACAAGTGCCGGCAGACGAAGGCGAGACGTTAGCTTCTTCGCTAGGTGGGAAAAAATAACCCTCCTCTTCCTCTTGTTTTATGTACTTTTGATCTTTTCCCATTCCTATAGTAGCGGTTTTCCCAAAGACAACACACAATTTCTAATATGTTAAACGCAGTATCATATTTACACAGATAACCTTTAGTAAAAGTATTTTTGGTACAGTTATAAGTTATGCAAAATCTTCATACACTTTTGAAGAGTTTCTTATGTGTGCTTATGCGAGGGATAATATCAAACTAAGTACATTTTTCTCAATTACTGTGTTTAAGTACAGATGTAAAGTACTTATTATTTCACTTTAATGCTACATTATACTACTATCTTTTTTAGAAAAAGAGATCTCTATGTACAACGCATGACTTTCAATTGTTTGAGGGATGTACGACCAGTGAATTAAATCCAGTTGACTAATGGATAAGTGTAAAGGAAACTTCTGTGTAGCATGCAGTGGAGTCACCGACTCAGGAAGGAGACACGGGAAGAGTCGGAGCTTTGATGTCAAACCACTGTGATTTATTTGGAGTTGGTACCAGAGTATTCACATCACAAATCCAAGAGTCAGAGGTTCTGACTTCACGGTAGAGTTGCCACGTCAATTCTGGAGAGCCTCTCTCTTGCCAGCCCATCTAACTGATTTCGCAGAGAGTAAACAATATATTTGAGAAGATAGCCTAAACAGTGTGGGAACACTGAGCTACTTGCGTCGGACACTTATGACCTCGAAGATTTCACCTTGGAGTCCACAAATACAGAGAAGGAAGTGTCCCAGTGTACCCACAACACAGACCATCTGTATCCCAGTATTGACCGGTCACAGAATGGGAACAATAACATTGTTGGCTAAGCCGCCTGTGTCCTTAAAGAAGGTAAACAGACATCAAGGTTTGTCCTGTATGTTACAAATTGGCGTCTATGATAATTATTTCCATAACAATAAGGATAATCTAAATTGAACAATCTATACAATATCCTTCTGCATTACGAGCCATTTTGCGTTTGATATTTTTAGTACACGTTGCTGGTGGTGATACTCAAAAGACAAAATTACCTAAAGCAGCCAATTTGTAGAAAAGTAATTCAAAAAGCAAGGACAAATTTACAGTGGGATTGAGGTAAACTATTTTGAAATCAGCTGATATTACACTGACCACACACACACACACACACACACACACACACACACACACACACACACACACACACACACACCTCTATACATGTGAACTATATCCTGCATGCCGCCTAATGGAGAAGGAATGTTATCTGAGATAAACTCTGCTCACAGGAGGAGTTTACTTCGAGGCGTCGGCGAGAGAAAACCACGAAGGAGTTCACGCTGCCTTCCTGCATCTCTGTCAGGAGGTGAGAACTTTTTACTGTATTTTATTAGTCAGCTTAGTCAGAGTCCTCTCCTGCTGATGTTCAGGTGTATATCAGTATGTAGTGTCTCTACTTTAAAGAGTCCTCTCCTGCTGATGTTCAGGTGTATATCAGTATGTAGTGTCTCTACTTTAAAGAGTCCTCTCCTGCTGATGTTCAGGTGTATATCAGTATGTAGTGTCTCTACTTTAAAGAGTCCTCTCCTGCTGATGTTCAGGTGTATATCAGTATGTAGTGTCTCTACTTTAAAGAGTCCTCTCCTGCTGATGTTCAGGTGTATATCAGTATGTAGTGTCTCTACTTTAAAGAGTCCTCTCCTGCTGATGTTCAAGTGCATATCAGTATGTAGTGTCTCTACTTTAAAGAGTCCTCTCCTGCTGATGTTCAGGTGTATATCAGTATGTAGTGTCTCTACTTTAAAGAGTCCTCTCCTGCTGATGTTCAGGTGTATATCAGTATGTAGTGTCTCTACTTTAAAGAGTCCTCTCCTGCTGATGTTCAGGTGTATATCAGTATGTAGTGTCTCTACTTTAAAGAGTCCTCTCCTGCTGATGTTCAGGTGTATATCAGTATGTAGTGTCTCTACTTTAAAGAGTCCTCTCCAGCTGATGTTCAGGTGTATATCAGTATGTAGTGTCTCTACTTTAAAGAGTCCTCTCCAGCTGATGTTCAGGTGTATATCAGTATGTAGTGTCTCTGCTGTGACATGTCTGCATGCTTTAATGTTCAAAAAGCTCTTTATTTTTCTCATCTGATTGGTTAGCTGACCGGCTCTGTTGTGATTGGTCAACAGCTTAGAGATGTCCCGCCCCTTCGCCCATCATGCACAATGTGTTGGTGTTTACATGCATTAAAACCTGTATAGAACACACTACATAGAAGAGAAAACCCCAAGCAGCATAACAGGGCCTCTTTAAGGTTAAGAAAGGACAGCTTTATTTGGGTCTTCAGATATATTTTGGGTCACTGAACTTTAGGGAATTTTCACTTCCTGTGGGAATTATGATAACAGACATTTTCCCACTGATGCCCAGTCACCAGAAAATGCTATGTTTGTTATGTTTGGGTCAGAAAGCTGAAATGAGTCTGTGCTGTATATTTGTTTTTCTGATACAAGTCTCATTACATGCAACTGTGTTTAGTCTATTTCCTTTTCTGGTGTGTTCTCAAACCAAGCTGAACTGATTAGGTGCTTTAAAGCTGCAACAATCAATCATTGTTAAATTAATATATTCAGTTCCACCGGGCCATTTTCGTTCCTACCCTCACCGATGGTCATGAAGGATGGGTCATGACCGAAAGAACGAGATCGCGGATACAAGCGGCCGAGATGGGTTTTCTCCGCAGGGTGGCTGGTGTCTCCCTTAGGGATAAGGTGAGAAGTTCAGTCATCAGGGAGGGACTCGGAGTTGAGCCGCTCCTCCTTCGCGTCGAAAGGAGCCAGTTGAGGTGGTTCGGGCACCTAGTTAGGATGCCACCTGGGCGCCTCCCTAGGGAGGTGTTCCAGGCACGTCCAGCTGGGAAGAGACCAAGGGGTAGACCTAGGACCAGGTGGAGGGATTATATCTCTTCGCTGGCCTGGGAGCGCCTTGGGATCCCCCAGTCAGAGCTGGTTGATGTCGCCAGGGAAAAGAAAGTTTGGGGCTCTCTGCTGGAACTGCTACCCCCGCGACCCGACCACGGAGAAGCGGGAGAAGATGGATGGATTCAGTTCCACTCATTAGCATCTTGTCGCTCAGTGTTTAGTTTTTTTGTTTCTTGTTTCCAACGGCTGCCTGCAAGAAAAAGTCCAATATGCTAACTAAATGCTACCCTACTAGCATTAAACATAGGCACATATAAGAGTTGTGAACACAATGGAGCAACTTAAGAGACAGATATTCTCTGGAAGAGATGGAGGAGACCAAAAATGGAGCAAAAAGGAGATTTTAAATTGGAGATATGTTCATTTGGTGACATAAAAATGACTCAAAATGAATGAAAATGTTGGTTGTTTTTGTTAGAAATGTTGTGTGATGAGAAAGGATTAAATGCAGTTTTAAAATGTACTTTTTAACAATTGTTTCTCGAGTAGATTGAGTTGTATTGACAGCGGAGTTTAAAAATGAAATAAGTACAAAAACATACAAAGTCATTTAAAATAAGAGTAGGTTTTGAGCTTCTTATGCATGTTGTTTCCAGGGTGTGAGAAAACTACATCATTGCTGTTTAGAGTCCAATTAACATCTGATGCAGAGTTTTAAATACAAACGAAGAAGTTTCGGAGCTGCTTATGCAAAACAAACGATGTATTTTCTTCAAGTCACTGGTGTCTCTGTTTTCTAGGTGATTCGAGGAGGGGGTAACGGTGAGAAACGAAGAGGAGGCCTTCATCTAGCCAGACCTAAATCTCCCAACATGCAGGAGCTGAAGAGGAGGTTCAGGCAGGTCCTCTCCTCCAAAGTCAAATCATCATCCTCCGCCCTCTGATCGAACAGAAACATCCCGGAGATAAGAGCTTCTATGGAAATACAAAGTCCTCCTTTAAAGTGGAAGCAGTTTGAGAAGAAGTTTGAGAACTGAACAGCCTCTGTGGTGATCGAAGCGTTTTAAAGAGTCCTCATGAGAGAGATGAAGACAAAGCTCAGGGTCAACGTGACCTTCTGATGCAGCTCAGAAGGAACCGACTGATACAAAAAACGATGTATTGTGTCAGAAACGTTGCGTTTTTACCAACAAAGGACAGTGAGTGTGTCCGAAATGCGGGTTTACTGCAAACTGACCCATGTCTCCGTTTTCTTGAGGCTGAAAAACCACTCTTAATACATCAACGGTAAAGAATTAACGAGACAATTAAAAGGACAGAACACGTTGTTTGTTACGTCCGGCTTGTAATTGACATTTTTGCAAATAGACAGGTTTTTTAATTGGGTTGAAAGTTGTTAATTCATGTGAGAACAACGGCAGATTTCAACTTGGCTGATACCAAATAAATGCACAGCGAGTCTCCATCTTCTCTCTTGAAGACTTGGTAAGAAAATAGTCTGAACCAAAACAGGAAATGACCCCAAATCGAACTCGTTCAAGGCTCTTACACCGAGACGAATGCTGCCTTTTGACAGCCGGAAGGGAAGCCTCTAGTAACAAAACAAAGCAAGGACAAGTGGAAGTGAGCTGTACTATTTTTAAATTGGGTTTTAATAAAGTGACCAGAATCTTTTTTTATATTTCGTCTTCATTTTCATTAAAAATGTGCTTAAATCAGGACTTTCCATGACTTTCCATTGCACTTTCAAATAGAAAAGTGGAGTTTATTGTTTTATTTTAATTGTGTCACCCATGCACACACCAGCAAGAAGAGGGTTTTTTTATTCACATAATTGGAGTTACTATCTTCCATTTTCACTATTTATTTGTGTTTTATCTGGTATGAACATAGAGACCATTAAAGTTCTCCTAAATGTACAGAAGCTCTGGTTAAATGGGGTTTAAATCCCTTAATTCAAATTCTCCATCACTTAACATACTTTTGAAGCCATGTCACAATGAGACTCATTTACTAGCCTGACATTGCCTGGAATTGTGAAAATGTTTCCACTTAATCTCAGCGCAAATAATGAAACTAAGGTGTAAAAGCAGCTTTAATGGCTCTCAGAATGAGGGGTATGTCATTTCAATTGTTTAATGTGTGGACAATGTTAGTTAATGTTGATCCAGAGGTCTTTTCCCCAACAATAATGATTTTGTGGGCGAGTCACAGCTCCAAGAGATGATGAACTTGCAGGAAAGAAAGTAACCAGTAAACCCAACATATGGTTTATAATCATGGGTCAACATCTAAAGTGTGTGTGTGTGTGTGTGTGTGTGTGTGTGTGTGTGTGTGTGTGTGTGTGTGTGTGTGTGTGTGTGTGTGTGTGTGTGTGTGTGTGTGTGTGTGTGTGTGTGTGTGTGTGTGTGTGTGTGTGTGTGTGTGTGTGTGTGTGTGTGTGTGTGTGTGTGTGTGTGTTTTTCCAGCTGTTCTCATGACCTCTCCTCTCAGTGACACACTCCACAATTCCCAGTAAAGACAAAATTCCTCTGCATCTGGCATTTGTTTCTCGGTCACTGAACCGCCACTCTAACCCTTTTCAAAACACACACACTAAATATTGTGTGCTGACCCGTGACCTTTGTGGCCCTTTGATCTTTCAAAGCAGCAGGGCTCCATCAAGGGTCTGGAAAAAGATGGGAGATAAAAACTCGGCTCGCTGTGTGACGAAACTCAGGCACACAATTGAGATTTTTCCCACAATTTCCAGCGACTTTAGGTCTAATTTCCTCTTGTGTTTTCTTTCAAACTTCCCACACATGTCGCTCCTAAAGACCTGCTTCCTGTGTGACGCTGGATCAACTGCACTCTCTGATGCATGAATGCTGCTTTTCCTCCCCTTTTTTTCATTGAAAAGCAGCCAGAAATCTGGACGGTTAATGTCAGTTGTATTTTATTGAGAGTTGATGTGACATTTATAAGGCCAGATTTGGAAAATGGACTCCACTAAATGTTCCCTTTTTTGGTTAGAACGGAGCGCACAAGTGAACTTCTGGATTAAGGTTTGAAAGTACGTTGATCTAAATGGCATTGACGTTGCTCCATAATGTCAAATTATGCAGCATAGTATTGTTATTCAATAGTAGATGTCATGCAGACGAGACATGACCCTATGCACAGATCAAAAACATCTAATGATGAGAAAGAAATTCACTGCAAGTCAGGAAGGTATTACGCTTTTGGACTTATCAGGTCAAATGTCTGACCAAAAGGGAAACGTCAGAACTTAAAATGACACAAAATAGAGCTACATTTTGCTTATTCATGCACATGGGAAATGTAGTTCACAACATAGGACGCTTCACAGGTAAAACTGAGGAAAAGTCCATTAAAAAAGCAAAAAAAACACTATTAAGTCAATGTTTTCTAATCAAAATGTACATTTAGTGCTCCCTGTCAATTTTAAAGACAAAAATGTGTAACCGGTGTGACTGCAAGACTACACTGGACAAGGATATAAATATAACATTGTATCAAACGGACAAGTCAAATCAAGCAATCTGATTGGTTCTTAGCCGTGATATAATGAGCGTAGATCACGGGTAGAATTGTAGTTACTTTTCACAAGTCAGTATCCCTCCGCGTCTGAGAAAAGCTACAACTATGAGGGGCCGTACAGCCCGTAATTCATACTCCTCTCACGCACATACATTCTCCATTCTACATTTTCACTCTCACACACGTATATATTTACACTCACACATTCATACATTTTGTTACGGCAAACTGTTACATTACGTCCGTTACGTAACTAACTAACTAGCAAAGCTTACGATGGAAACATTTAAGGTTAACTTGGACCTCCGGGGTGGCCTTTCTATGGAGGAGTGGATTGAGCAGTGCCTATCTCCAGAAAGCACCTAAACGACGACATGCAGAGCTACGTGAAGAGCAGGTAGACCAACTGGAGAAGTACCACCATTCAAAAGCTTTCTGATGCGGGTCTTGAAACAAAGCAGAGACATGATGACCGTTAGTGGCCACAGGTGCGAAAGCTCTCTCCAGAGCTACTTGCTTAAATATATCATAATATATGAAGCAAGGAGTAATATCTCAGCTTGCAGTTCAAAGGATTCTCTCAGTTATTCAGACGCCTCTTCTTTAATGTGGATCTGTAGAGAAACAGAGTCAGTGTGCTTTAGTAAACCTTCCCTTTGTATAAAAGACGACACCTTTAAAAACAAAACAGATGAGGAAATGTCTAACAAGCTAATGATGGAGCAGAGGAGGTCATCTTATCAACAGAGAACCACCCAGAGCAATGTGTGGAGGACAGAAACCAGCTGTGTGTGTGTGTGTGTGTGTGTGTGTGTGTGTGTGTGTGGGTGTGTGTGTGTGTGTGTGTGTGTGTGTGTTCTGTACGAGGCAACAGGAAGTTAACGTCTTGTCTGGGATTAAGTCAAGACCTTTGAAACTGGAGAGAGACACAAAAGGTTTCAAGAAGAATTAGGACTTTAGGATGTAAAACAACACGTAAAATACATTTAAATGTAACAGAAGACAGAGAATGAATGTCAACTGTCTCCGTGTTGAAGTGTTGACAGAACAGTGTGTGTGACAGTCAGACAGATGAGAGATTATCAGTGTGTGTCCAGACGGATAACAAATGTCAAAGTCAAACAAAAGTCAAAGTCAGCTCTATTGTCAAGAATTCTACATGTTGTACATCCAGAAATCTTGAAATATCGTTTCTCGAGGTCCTACAGTGTGACATATATACATCAAACAACAACAACAACAACAACAACAACAACAACAACAAAAAGGGCCTAGATAACCGGGGAAATGTTAATAATATATTAAAGTGTTCAGCGGAGATGGCAGTAAAGTGACTGGTGCTGTGTGTGTGTGTGTGTGTGTGTGTGTGTGTGTGTGTGTGTGTGTGTGTGTGTGTGTGTGTGTGTGTGTGTGTGTGTGTGTGTGTGTGTGTGTGTGTGTGTGTGTGTGGTGTGTGTGTGTGTGTGTGTGTGTGTGTGTGTGTGTGTGTGTGTGTGTGTGTGTGTGTGTGTGTGTGTGTGTGTGTGTGTGTGTGTGTGTGTGTGTGTGTGTGTGTGTGTGTGTGTGTGTGTGTGTGTGTGTGTGTGTGTGTGTGTGTGTGTGTGTGTGTGTGTGTGTGTGTGTGTGTGTGTGTGTGTGTGGGGTTAGAGTCCAGGACCATTTGGGGCAGGGGAGAAAGGTCGGAGGCAGGGTGGAGAGTTCAGGGGAGAGATGACAGAGGGGGAGAGTTCAGCATCCTGACCGCCTGGTGGAGGAAGCTGAAGTGCAGCTTCCGAACCACAGCGTGATACAGCTGCTGAGGATGCTCTCGGTGGCGCCTCGACATAAGGACAGCACGATGGGGGGTGATGCTCCGGCTCGCTTGAGCTTCTGGATGAAGTACAGGCGCTGCTGGGCTTTCCTCGCTAGTGCGGTGGTGTTGATTTTCCAGGTGAGGTCATCAGTGATGGTCACCCCAAGGAATTTGGCGCTGGTCACCTGCGTCACAGCAGCACCGTTGATGCTCAGGGGGAGAGGGGGCCGACGGTGGGTTCTCCTGAAGTCAACAACTATCTCCTTTGTTTTCTCCAGGTTGAGGAAGAGGTTGTTATTTTGGCACCACAGGGCCAGCTGGTTCACTTCCTTCCTGTAGTTAGTCTCATCGTTGTGGCTGATGAGACCCACCACAGTAGTGTCGTCTGCAAACTTCACGATGTGGTTGGTGCTGAAGATGGGTTTGCAGTCGTGGGTCAGCAGAGTGAAGAGAAGGGGGCTGAGCACACATCCTTGGGGGGCCCCGTACTCAGTCTGAGGGTGTTTGAGGTGTTATTGTTGACCCGTACAGCTTGTGGTCTCTCTGTGAGGAAGTCCAGCAACCAGTTACAGAGAGAGGGGCTGAGGCCCAGGTCTGTACGTTTTTGTACAAGCTGCTGGGGGATGATGGTGTTGAATGCTGAGCTGAAGTCTATGAATAGCATTCTGATATATGGGTCCTTAGTCTTAGTCTTAGTGTCCAGGTGTGTGAGGGCTGGGTGGAGAGCGGAGAGAGATTGCATCCTCTGTGGACCGTTTAGCTCGGTAGGCAAACTGAAACGGGTCCAGCGATGGGGGGAGGGTGGATTTGACCTGCTTCATGACTAGCCTTTCGAAGCACTTCATGATGGTGGAAGTTAGTGCGACGGGGCGGTAGTCGTTGAAGCCGGATGGAGATGACTTATTTGGCACTGGAATGATGGTGGTTACCTTGAAGCACGAGGGAACAACAGCCTGGCTCAGGGAGATGTTAAAAATGTCTGTGAGGACATCTGTGAGCTCTTCTGCGCAGTCCCTCAGCACAAGACCAGGAATGTTGTCAGGTCCTGCAGTCTTGCGGGGGTTAATCCTCAACAGTGTGCTCCTCACACTGGCTGGTGAAAGACGCAAAGCCTGGTCGTCGGTGGAGGGGGTGGTTTTCTGCGCAGGTGTGTTGTTCTGTGCTTCAAAGCGTGCAAAGAAGCCGTTGAGGTTGTTGAGCAGGGAGGTATTACTGTCACAGGTCTGTGGCGGTGGTTTGTAGTCCGTTAGGGTCCTTATGCCCTGCCACAGGCTCCGTGAGTCCCTGCTATCCTTGAAATGTCCTGTAATTTTTCGGGTGTATTCTTGTTTTGCTTTCCTAATGCCATG